TCTGGTCATGTCAGCAACTCATCCACATCTCAAAAATAGTAAGTTCCTTAAGAAAATTGCCCTAGCTTTATCATGAACTTATAATATCCCTAAAATATCAATTTTCATTAATGATCAACTCCAAAAAATCCATATTCCCAACCATTCATCAACCCCAAAAGACATCAACAGCAACTAAATTAAATCAATTTCCTAAAATGCGCTCTAATTTGCTGCACAATCAGCATTGCATGTTCACATTATTCCCACCAACTTCATAAATTCCTCACATATACTTTTCATATCGACTGAATAGAGACGACACAAGACATAAATCAGTTCACTCGTAAGTACATTTTATAAATGTGTTGTTCGTGTTTGATAGTTATAATAAGGAGCAAAGAAAAGTTTCATCACTTTATACTTTTCAGTAGCGTAAAAATATGGTTTTTTATGTTATTACCATGACTAAAGGTGTCTGTGTGAATAGTTGTTTGTTTATGTTGCGGCACATTTTCGCTATACTTTTATAAAGAGGATATTTTGCTGGGAAAGATGGGGTTTCATGATTTGTCTGATTGTCATGTTGAGGGTTATTTGGAGTGTTGTTTTGCAATGCTTTCTTTTTCAACCGCAAGCTTTTGTGGGTTAAAAAAATGAAATTGTGAAAGTGTGCACACTTTTAAGCTACAGATTTAGAAAATATGGGTCATAAGCACATTTGCTTTCTAAAGTTTATTTACTGCTTGCTTCGATGACCATATTCAATGATCCAGAACCTCTCTTTAATAGCAACGCAAGTTGACTCATCCTACTGCTTGTCAATTAACAACTACAAGGACCTATAAAGAAAAGCAGAAGTCGATTAATTGAATAGAAATCCGGCATGAAGCCGATGTGATTCTGTCATGGTGCTAGACTTAAATCGAATCAACCACCATGCTAGAGTTGCGCTAGTTTGATGTCGGATTTCTAGTCGATTAACTGACTTGTGCTATTCGGGTATCCTTAGAATTATTCCTAGACTATCGTTAGTCTGTTCTTTAATAAAAACAGCCTCAACGCTTACAACTAGGAAAATAATTGACACCTTAGCGACAAAGAAGTTCTGAATGGTACAAATGAAATGATCTGTAACACATATCGGCTAAGTATTTTTCACTGCCAGTGGCGTAAAAGAATGGTCACACAGGAAGAGCGTTTGGGTATTAACGCAGCTTTCAATTGATGACTCATTGATGGTCGTTTTCTAGCAGTAATTTTCGCAGCCATTGGATAGAAGAATGGACACTCAGGAAGTGTGTTTGGGTATTAAGCTTGCAATTGACTTGCAATTGAGGACAACTGAAATAGATACAGAACATCTCAATATCATTAGCCAGGTAATTTAATCTTCAATGCTTTCCTTATTCTTTCAAATATTTGGCAGCACATGGGTTAGCCATCACTGCTCTATGTTATTAACAATGCATGGCCAGCCTATCATTAGTATTAGGTACCAGCTGTAGAATACTTCATCACTTCCAAAAATGCGCCTCTAAATCAACCAAAAAGCCAACAAAAAAAACTTTGTTAATAATTTATTTCCCTTGCACTTCACAACTGCAAATACATCGCACACAAGCAACACAAAAAAAAATATTTTTTTCTTTCCCTATCAACATCGTGCATATCTATACATCGGGGTGAGAAAGAGAGTGTGAAATGAAATCAGAAGGCATTCAACTACCAAATAAAAGTCTATCATGAGAATTGTTATGAATATTGAGCAATAAGTGTAGTTGAATGGATGTATTTTATGTGTTTTTTTTTTGCGAGAATATAAATAAGGGCTTTATTGTAGTTCAGCTCATCATTCAAGAAAGTTTTGTTGTTGAAGAATGAAGGAAAAATATTATTTTTTTTTTGAGTGTTGAATTTTTTTGCTTCGGAAAAGTTTTTTAAAAAGAAAAATGATTGAGGCTTAAGATTTATTGATTGAAAAATAATAAGGACTCAATAAGAATAATTTTTGTGCTGTGATAAGAACAAAAGAATTTTGATAGGAAATTAAAAACCGAAAAAAAAATAAAAAAATGTCAAGACCAAAATTGATCGGAGGCCGTGGAATTACGATGTAAGAAGCATATACGGAAACAAATATTCATTCTTGTCTGTATTTGATTTCTTATTGAACACGTGTGAAAGTGAAGGTTTATTTTCCGATATCAAAATAAAGTCACGAAGGTTGTGTATTGAGCTAAACATATGACAAAAATATTTATTTTTTGGATATGCCAGGAATGCAGTCAGGGGGTGGTTTAGCACCTCCAACCCCCATTCTATATGAATTTTGTTTAAAACATTTCCTTCATTTTCCATAAAAAAGTTCAGTACCCCCCCCCCCCCCCACCAAATAGTTCTAGCTACGTCCCTAGGATGAACCATCGGAAATGTTTGAATGCTTTTTTGGATATGTGAAAATTATTGCATAGCTGTTATAGGACTAATTGGCCTCATTATTTCGTAGTGCTGGGATATTACGTATTGATCATAATAAATTAATTTATTTAAATTTTATAGCATATGACTGCTTGTTACATCGGCTCTTCCTGATTTCTCTCAAATTTGGACATTTAGAAAACTGCAGGAAAAAATCCTCAAAAATATAAAATTTTCTGAAAATCAAACAAAAGTATAAAGCATATTATGCAGTTGGCATAGCGCCACATTATGTTTATGTGAAGAAGTTTTATAACAAGCAATTTAATGAATAATTAGAAAATCTTTAAAAGTTTTCCTAATTTTTGTCTGGTGTCGTCTTGAAAACATTTTTTAAGTGATTCTGAACATGAAAATGAGTTTAAAAGTTGTATAAATTGGGTTATAGGCGTGCAAATTATTTTAGAAACTTTAATGAGAACAAAAAAAAGTTTATCATCCAATATTTTCTTTTTCACATACAATTCCGACCTACCTTAACTTATTTATTATTAACAAATCATTGCTTTTTCTTAAATGGCTAAGACTAAGTCTGAAGAATGTTTTATAATTTTTTTTTCTTTGACACCTTTGAGAAGACTTTGAACTTAATTTAATTTGGTGTCTTAGATATAAATTAGATTTGAGCTATACTTGCGATGATTTCAAATTAATTCATTATTCAAAAACTTAATTTTGCGTTTAAGAGTTTGCAAAACAAGCTACAATGAGAATTTAAAGCATTATCTTAAACCTTTCATTCTCCTTTTCTAATTCTTACAATTCAACAATTACAACTTGAAATGTCGTGAGCGTTTAATTATTCATTATTAATGAATATCTCGGAAAACCAACAATTTATAACACAGGAACCAAAAACCCACACGTTGCATGAAAACCAAAGATTAATACAATAGCAATCGGAATCATTTCGAACCTTTCAATTTCTAAGAATTCAAATCTTCGGACTAGTTTTAAAATCCTGTTGTGTAGAATTAATGTTAATCCTCTATTTTCTTTTTTCTTTGATGTTTTCTCACTCTGCAACTCTTCAGGGAGGAAGCAATAGTAAGTATAAACTTTTATCAAATCATTATCATCATATTACTCGAATTTGACGCATTTTTGAGAGGATTAACTCAATTAGAATTGATTCGTGAATTATAAAATTAAGATTTGGGGAAATTTCTAAAATTATTAAAATTTTGACAGATGAATTAATCATTTTCACTAGAATTTAAATTCTTAAGGTATTATAATTAGGAAATTAAAGAATGTCTTTAAATAGAAAATTTTGTCAACTGCTTCAATGAATTTTATCTAGCACGTTTTGACTTCAAGTAGAGATTAATCTTTACTTTTTGGTATCCATAGAATTTCATTCAATTTTATTTTAATTGCTGTTCTTAAAATTAAGCTACTTATTGCCAAAATGAGGCTGCAAATGAGTTCTCATTTTAAAATTGTTAACTTTTGAGGTTGTTCGGAAGCCTTGAGTTGGTTTGAGCTTGTTAATGATCATGATTCCATAACTTCTTATCAGACTAACAACTATGCTGGCCATAGTTGGTGTTTTAAAAGCCAGTTTTCTATTTGTTTAAAAACTTTTAAATAGGGTTGCGATACAGGCATCTGTGCACAAGTGGAAACAGTACAATTCCTTGAAAATTTATAAGGTTGTCTAACAAAATCATACAAATTTTAAGAAAACCTCACAAATTATCAAGGAATTGTACGAATCTCACCTGTACATAGGTGCTTGTATCTCAACCCTGCTTCCAAAATTAAATAGTTTTGAGTCGTTCTAATCAAGGGAGTAGATTGAAACTGGCTATATGTGTATGACGAATAGCCGAAGAGAGATAAGAAACTCTGTGGCTGAGTGGCATCGATCTCTTATCGAGTTGTTTGCTGTTTTGAGGCTGTTTTGAGGTCATGGGTTCGAATCCCATCGAACCCGACTCGTTTTACATTACAGTGTATACATGCAGAAGTTATGGAAAAGATCTATAATTATATCCTCTATTTTCTAGAAAAATATCTGAGAGCTCTCATCTTCATTACTTAACATTTATGACAACTTGAAAAACTTTAAAAGTTGCATAACAAAACTCAGCCTAGACCCATTTCTAGTCCTCCTTAATCATCACGTAACAATCAAAACAACCCCATACCCGAAAAAAACTTATGTTTCACCATCTTCACGTGCTCAAAACATATTTAATTTCATTTTAAAATGGAAAGCAAATCGATATCCCCAAAAAAAAATAAAAATTTCTACATGTGCTGAAATAATTCGGGTGATGAGGAAGGAATTAAATGATATTACGTGAATGACTGAAATCGAAAGTTCGATCATGACATTCATGGCACTTATTTAGGATGAAGTTTAATTAAATTTTTTCACAATTTTTTTCTTATTGCTGCAGGATATACGAGTGACAGGTGAGTGGTTCTACCAATATGTCTAATCTATTGAAAAATTTAAGAAACTTTTCTCATTAAAAAAAAGTTTTAATGCATTGTTGCTGATTACATTGTAATTAACATGCAATCCTAATGTTGGATATAAACTCTAATTCTTTACAGTCTTCGGAAGCGCATCAGCCCCACCAAGAGGAGAATGGACAAGAACTGGATTATCATATGTTCATTCACAAAGTGATCCTTACCCATTTGGACTTCGGAGTCCGAAGAATGCAACGAGAGGTCTTCAGTCAGTTGTTCAAGCCTTCCTCATTAAATACTTTATTTTTGATAATCGACCGAAAGAAAAGTCTGTTCCACTAGATAAATTACTTAAACCAACCGAGTCTGAACAAGTAGCTGCTATGTGGAATAGTTTGTCGGAAATTTTATGGAATGTTGGAGAAAAGACTAGAGTCAATGTATGTCTGCCTGGTGATAGTGAGTTATAAATTGTTTAAAATTATCCCAGTGGTAGACAACCTGTGTGCTGCGGAACACTTGCAATCTGATGCTGTTACACAAAAAAGGTTGTGCACCACTGGCCAGAGCTGTTTTTAAACTTTAAGATATGCTTACTTTTAGGTCCTCATATTAGTCATAGTCAAAGTTACTTCCAGGATAATATTACTGAAAAGGTATGCATTCAAAAATTAATTTAAAGGTCGATCCAACAAGAAGATTTCCTGGATATACTTCTCAACCTTTGTAGACTCACTTCAAAAATCTAAAAAATCAATCTTAATTTCAGCTCTTTATTTTCGAATTTAACAAACTAGAAGACCTCCAAATCTTCATCAAGCGATACGTGTTCTTCTTCACGGATGATCCAAGTCCCGGTGCTTTGCTTCTTCTTTATTCGGCTGTATGGACAAGAGGCTTTGAAAATATTAGAAATGATTTAGATTGTCCAAAGGGTGCTCATTTGATGGGAAATTATGAGGAAGGCTCATTGAATATTGTGACTCTGTTGCTATCTGGAAGAGCTACGGTAAGATGAATGTGGTTTTTAATGATGTCCAGTGTTTTGAAAAGGGGATCTAAGACACTCCGGGAAAAAAACCTTTTTCTGATGAACGTCATTTGTGAATAATCCCTAAATTAATATGCTCTTTATTATTTTCTAGCCTTATTTGCACAACGGTGTCGTGTACGTTGGTGATGAAGATCATTATGCTATGCCTCAGTTTGGTAAATAATCTTAAGCATTTTAAACCCTCAAAACTTGTAATTGCCTCCCTTTTATTCTAGGTATTTTATGTCGGTCGCGTGTTGGCTTGCTGATTTGGTAAGGAAACATTAGGCCTTAAATAAAATTTACAAAAATAACCACAAACTTTCTAGGGATGGTGAAGGAATCAATGTGACATCTCGACAACCAGGATCCAGATTGAAGACTCCAGGCTTACCAATTTGGGTAACATGCTGCATGGGTCATTATGGGATTGTGTTTAACTCTAATCGGGAATTGTTACGAAACTATCATGCTGAAAAACGTTTTGAGTTGCATCACTATACTAATGCAGGTGAGATTTGAATTGATTGTATATCTTAGCTTGGACAAGATTTGGTGTAGACTAAGTTTAGTAATGGCACAAAATGGGCCTAGGTTAAGTGTAGACTAGGTCTAGCCTTGGTCTAAGCTTGATAAAAGGCTAAGTTTGACTAGGTTGAGGCCTGATGTATGGCTTGGTCTGAGTTAAGTCTAGACATAATCTAAAGTTTAGGCTTAGGAAAAAATCAAAAAAATGTCGAAGTCTTCAATCAAATACAAAGCAGACCTTAAACACATTAAATGACTTTCCAGGTATTTTTGTCACAATGACAGTCGATAATCGAGGTCAAGACGATGAAGAAGTTGGCCAGCCACAGTTGCAGAGACAAAACAGTAAAGGTGAAATTAAGGAAAGTGACGGATCTAATCTCCAAGCGACGCCTCTTGAAAAAGTGAGAACTTATTTAAATTTATTAAATTTTCCAAATTTTCTAAAATTAAATCTTGTGTCATTTTCAGCTGATTCACACTAAATGGGCCGATGGCAAGATTTCTTTCCACCATCAGATTGAACCTGCGAAATTGAATTTGTAGATTAAATTTACGAGACTTTATAGCTTGTTGGGAAATATTGTTGCAAAAATGTTTAACAAGTTAATGGACTTAAATTGATATTTTGAGATAAAAATGACCAAAAATTTATTTTGGAGACTTTCGAGAATCTTTGTATTACAAAATTGATAATTATAGTAAATGTTGCTGTAACTTTAGGTTATAAAAAATGACTTTAGGAAATAAATTAGAGCTTAAAATGCAATATTTTTTGTCAAAAAATTCATTTATTTCCTACCTGAAAACTATTCACAAAACAAATAAACCTTAAAAACTTTTTCAATATATAATCAGCTTTGCACACGTACAATTGTGCTGTACAGAATTTTCAATTATAACTTCTTGACATTTTCACTCATTTATTAAAATATACATGAATGCATAAGCTAGTGCACTCGTAAGTTTTAGTTGACACAAAACTCATATGTCATTGTCATGCGATTTAATTAAGACAAATTTTGAATTTCTACACAAAAACCATTCATATTCATGCAATAATCTACATAAAATTGTCTCGTGACTTTTTTTTGGATGTGGTAGAAAAATTAGATTTTGGGGGTGTTGAGCTTAATTTTGGCAAATTTATAAGCTGGGACATATTAGGCTGGGACAGCACGATTATGAAGGAAGATTAAATAGCTACATGAGTACAAATTGGTACTGGTTTCTTTCTAGATTCATGTTCCTATGAATTATTCCTTCCAGGTCCTTAAGCTCCACTCCCTTGATCTTTTCAAACTCTCTAATCCAGAGTTTGATTGTCTGATCCCTTTATGAGCTTCTAGACTTCCCTTTTTGATACCTGAAATCCTATCCTAGCTTCATCTATGTTCACTGAGCTAATAAAGTCTGCTTTCAAAACTCTCGACCACATACATAACAGCAATCCATACACACATGAGTTTAAAATCGAAATGAATAGAATCGAAAGTTGGAAACCATGGCTATGAAAAACTTTATCTTCTTTAGCAAGAGCATACACACCAGAAATTTATATATGCGGGATGTTTTGCACGTGTTTTTGTGTCGGAGCGTGTATCTCTCGTACTTTATATCTCATGCCAGTATCAAATGAAAAATGAGAGGCTTTTTCAGTCTGAACACCCTTAAAAACATCAGCAAACATCTCCAATTAAAATATTCAAGAGCTTGATTTGTAGGACTTGATAAAAGTACGGTCAAGGTTACATTTAGATTAACCGAGCGTATTGTATCACGTTTAATGGACCTATTTATGCATGGATATCACATAAAATTCTGCATAATTGTGAATTGATGGGGTTTGAACGGTAAATTGAGTAAAATTTTGTTGCATTTGTTTACATTTTGGGATGTAAATGATAGCTACTGAAAATAGATATCCTTAGGGGTTGTTCATAAATGACGTCGCATGAGAGGGGGAGCTTCAGGCGGCTCCATTTGCGATGCTTTCATAACTGCATGGCTCAAAAAATAATCAAAAAACAGGGCTTGCTGTTTCTTAGGCATGTCTAGGCCTAGATTGTGTGTACGCAAAGATGAAGCTATCAGAAGCTAAGTTAGAGACCCCCTTAATTTTTCTGTAAATCCAATAAATTCCCCCTTTGGCTGTAAAATATTTCTGGCTTTGCCCCAGGATGCTATAAATATACAGCTAGTTCCTCTTCATAGCCATCTGATTGACAATTTTAATAGGTTTCGTATGGCTGAATTTAGGTATTATTATACTCGAGCTAGAGCTACAGCCCAGCTCAGACTGTTGGTGTAAAACAGTGTTGTCCAAGCTTTGTGTCGTGGCACACGGGTTTGCCGTAGAAATTTAAATGACGCGAGCCGCGTATTGTGTGCGATTTTGATAATGGCTTATCCATAAGGTGTGCCGTGACTCAAAAAAGTTTGGACAACACTGGTGTAAGAGATAGATACTTTACATCCTATGGATTCGTTTACTTCCAAAGTTCATCGTCAAATAATCACAAAAGGTTCCAATAAAAATAAGTATGCCCATCATATACATCATCATCTAATCCATAAACTGCACCATATTATTTACAACAGCGCTTACTACAAGTACTTCTTCCGAATGATCCATAATCCAACAATTTCAAGTCGTCCTCTACTCGTAAATTAGCGTCACATAAAAGAACAAAAAAAAAATAAAATCTAGAGTACACTTCAACTTTAATATTGCTCAGGTGAGGAAGATCAAAGCAAAAAAAGTTTTATGAGATAAATTAATTGTTGTTCCTGAAAGTTCAAAACGTTCGACTTCCAGTCACTTTCCAATGAGAGAATTCTCTCAAAAATGAAAAAGTTTCTCTTTTTGATTCTCTCTCGATTTTTCATCATTGATGCCTTCCTTGCAAGTTTCTATGGCAATCATCATCATCAGCAACATTGTGTACGTTCATTCAGCTTTTTGTTTTGTGCATGAATAAGGAATGAAAATTATGAAAATTTTATTTATTTTCATTTTTGTCGAAATTGAGTATGTATATGCACAGAAAGTCACTACAATCATAAGAACCGAGACACAATGAAGCGATAAAATTTTCTTTATTATTCTCACTTTTTCTAATAAACTTGATGTATGCATTTTACTTCTATTCATATTATTTTATTTACTTTAAAATTCACATGTCAAGCCATCAGTTTGAATTGCATTCTTCCTTTTTATTTTTTGCTTCTTATAGCTTCTTTAAGTATCTCATTGTTGCAGTTTTTTTGTGGAAGCTTTTTATAATGGAAAAGAGTTGTGGTTATGCATTATGGGGCGTGAGATTTTAAGTTTTAACTTATAAGATTAGAACCGACATCGATGTCTATTTTTGAAGAGTTTTTAAACACTTACCCTCCCTCAGTCTTAGTATTTTCTTCCATCTCCTTACTTCAAACAATTTTCGGCTGTGATCCTAGTCCTGAATAACCATTAAATTGGTGTCACTCGACTCATAGTAGATTGATAGTTCCTACCATCACTTAAAGGAGGAGACCCGTGGAAGCTCCATTAAGTAAGGTCTTTAAGTCAGACTTTGTGGATGGAAAAAGAGCACGTGCAAGACCAAAAAACTCATAAAAAGAGGCTGTTGAGATGAAGAGACTGTATTGCATTTGGTCTAGGAAATGGGCAAGCGGTAGCCAGCGATAGAGCCAGTTTTAAGCGGCATCTTAGAGAGGTCATGGATCACAAATGATCTGTAAGGTCATCGAAGTAAGTAAAAGTACCATCACTTAAATTCTAGATGCTATGTTCGCAAGGGTAACCAATTAAGAGTTTGTCTTAAAACCTAAGAATTTTCCAAGAAATGCGCAATCATTTTAGAATTCTGATGCTAGAAACCTTTGTTTTACCACTTTCTAAGGCTATTCGAGGAACTTAACCTTAAAATTAATTCGGTGTACTTCAATTTAGGGTTCACATAAATTTGATCAGAGACTTAGCAATTGTATCCTAAGTAGCTATAATTACTGTCCCCAGATGTCCAGCTATCTCTATATTCTCACTGTAAATGCGCTGCCATCTATTCACACCTCACAAAAATTCGCACTCACCAATTTTTTGAATGACTTTAAATAAAATTTATTATGAAAAAGTTATTCTTCTCGTTCTAATGCAGCAGTACGGAGTTCATATATATAGAGCAGGGAAAAGCTAGAAATGTTTATTATAAGTCTCATGAAACTGTTTCAGTTGTCGAACATGAAAAATCAAAAACTTTCTAAGTGCTTCGTATTGTTATTGCTGCAACTTTTATTGCAAGCTTCTGTTGCACATTCGAGAGGTAAAAAAAAATTATTTTATTTTATTTTATTGTACAAAACTTGAAGTTTCACATTTTTTCATACGTGTTGCTAGAATTCAATAAAGTGAACTCGATGAAAATTATCCCTGGCAGCAACTTAATGCAAAATAGTGTCAAATCAATGAGTCCCTGTATGACAGCATTCGAAAAAGTCAAAACGTGCTCTTTAACTTGTCAAAATGAGATTTGGATATACGAATCAAAATCTGTGGAAGATTCAACAAAAGCAGAAACTAAGGAAAATGTCTTTAATTGCACTAAACATGATTTAGTGTGGTTTAGTCAATGTATTATCGAGTGTGTGTACAGCAATGGTGACTGGAATATTATCATTTATCCTGAATCTATATGATTAATTAATGGATCGTGTGTAAGGGTCGATGGGTTATGAAGTTCATCAAGCAATTGAAATTTTAGTCTTTAGAATTAATCATCTCTCTTATTTTTTTCAAAAAGTTACAAAAACCTTATAAACCTTCTCTGAAATTAGTGTTGTCCAAACTTTTTGAGCCACGACACACTTTAAGGGTAAGCCATGACCAAAGTCGGACAGCATGCAACTATAAACTGATGATCCTTAAGCTCAAAATTTGAAACCATACCAAGGGCGTAGCCAGGAATTTGAAGAGGAGGGTCAATTTTTTTTGTATGAAAAACTTTTAAGAGGGGGAGGGGGGGGGGGGGGGGGCGGGGGGTTATAGCGAGTTTTTCATAAAAACTCTAGCAAAATTAAGAAATTTCTCAAGAAGAAGGGGGATTTATCCCCCAAATCCCCCCCCCCCCCCCTTCCTTGACTACGCGCCTGTACCAAACTCAAGTTGCACATTTTAATCTATTAATTCTGTATACAGCAGCAAGTCTCAACTATGAGTGGGATTGTATAGCAAATCCTGAAGCACACTAGCTCAATGCTGGATTGTCAACTTTAATATCATTCAATTTATTTCTTTAATTTGTGAAACTTACAACGTGAACTTAATAATAATGTGAGAGGGTTCCAGCCAAGCAATGTGTTACTTCACGTTGCGACGAGCTGGAGGCACTACGATCCTGATCGACGATTGAATCTATAAAACATGAACTTAATAAAAACAAAAACAACCTGTCTTACTATCTTAGAATGTTGACTCATTCATTATCATATCCTAAGAAAAATAATCCGGATATCCATGTCTGAAATAAACAACAAGAGGTCGTCAACATCTTCCGCAGAGCATCATAATCTGGAAATTTTTCTCATTTAATGATTTTAATTTCCAGGAATAAAAAATGATGCTAAATTTACTGTGACTTATGAAACTCAATCAATTCATTAAATTCTGCACTTGCTGTTGATTGTGTCAAGCATTCATTCAGCAATAATCATCAAGGACTTCAATTGAATAAGGAGTTATTACGGTAGTATTTTAAAATACAAACTGCGTAGGTTAAGAATAGATTTAAGATTTATAGATAATATTATCACGTATTAAAAGTTGATGTGAATCATATTGCATTAGCGGATAGAACAATAGCACTTGGGGGTCGTTCACTTATGACGTCCGAAATTAACGGTCATTCTTCAAAAAAGAGAAGAATTCTTGGAATTTCTTTTGTTCTTTTCTTGCTCCCCCCCCCCTCCCCTCCCCTCGAACGTCATAAGTGAACGACCCCTGTCTAATAAATTAAATTAATCTTTTCTAAAGAAATTCAAAAAAGCTCGTAAAATTTCTCGAGAAATAATTCCGTTAAGCACAGATTCAAGTTTGCAATTTCAATGCCATACACGTTATATTCATGATGACCAACACACAATGTCAAGTTCATTTATCGAGATATTTTTGCATCTCAATCCTTCGTCAGTTGTTTTATTGAGTATGTATCAACTGGCGCTTCGATTTCACCATATCAATTTACATTTACATGACTTACAATTTTTTTTTTGATTAATTTTCATCGATTAAATTTGATGCCCCATTAACAACTTAATCATCAATCATAAAGTTGCATCCAAACAACTCAAAAATATGAATCAGAAAATTTAATTAAAATTCTAATCAACTTTAAAAGTTCACGACTATAAATTGTTATTAAATATGACAATCATATGACGTATCAAATTGATACTATCAATCATCCTTTCGAATATGTAAAGCACCGTTTAAAGTAAATTCATTAAAAATAAGTAAATTGAGTCATTAAAAACAAATTAAGAGTGACAAAATGCAGGGAAAAAAATCATGAGAATGGAATTCATATCGCGGATAGGAATCATATTACACATCAGAAAAAGTCCCGCATTATGTTCTTGTAAAATGAAGCAGATTTGCGTCATTAATCATAACTTTCTCGTTGTCTGGTTCTTTGGAATTCTGCTGTGATTTTGTTAAACATTTTTTATGTGTTTATTAGTGTCATCAAGGAAAGCTTTAACTTAATTGTTGGAATAGCAAATATGGATGATCTTGAAGTCTTTCATCGTAAGGATGTAAAAGTTTTGGATGTTTGAGACTTTATTTCATCAAAATTCTAGGAATTCTATAGCGTCGTTGTTGATGCTTAGTTTATTCAGGTTTTTAAGCTTGTTTAATCTCATTTTGTGCTTTTTTTTGAACAATTGGCAGGGAACATGTACGTCATAGATCGTATGATGAGCTCTTACTTACTTACTTCCTTGGTTGAGGCGTACGTGGGTCCATTGCCGCGTTCAGAGATCGTCTAAAGACAGCTCTATCCTCGAGACCTTCTGCTAGTTTGGGATATTAAGGACTCTAGCGTCCTTATCAACACATTCAATTCCTGGTCTTGTTCTTTGGTATTCCTCTGGATGAGCTCAACTGGTTATATTAATTCATTTAGTATCCATAAAGCTTCAATTTATGCATTTAAACAGCAAATATTCACTTCGACAATCACCTTGATATCAGCTACAGTTAGCTATAAAACTAGTCTAGTCAATAATTGCATTGTGTCTATAAATAAACTCTAACATTAATTCTAACAATTAAACTCTATTGTTCTCATAACTTGTGCTCTAATTCCAAAATACGCAGTAATAAAGCACATTAGAATTACAGCTTAAACTTATTTATGCAATAATTTCCAATTCATTTCCCTTTGAATTACATATTCCAATGATATCATCAACAGCATCGAAATCTATTCAAGTTTGCAAATACAGCTCATATGTGAATTTAAATTAAATGCAGCCCCGGTCAATAACTATCATTGTACATGTTAATTATTTTAAATACACAACAAACACGTGAATAATCGAAGATGATTTTGTGCGAGTAATATTTTTTTTGCAAAACCGGTCTCAACAGACAGAGCGAAAATGAGAGAGCAATGAGATAATTTACAGCAGAGATTTTTTTTTATTTCTACTTGAATATAAGATACGCATGCAATCTCATCTCTCTGCTCAGTTTTTTGTTGACCACTGGTCAGTTTAGAGTTAAATCGTTGAGAAGAAATAAAAAAAAAATAAAGTTTGGTGCTAATTAAGAAGTCTGATTCAAAAACAAATAAAGATTTTGTTAGATAATATCAATAAGTTGTAGGATTAAAAAATATAATAAAATTCCCCGAATTGTTAAACGCATCTATAGTGTGGAATATACTTTAAAAATGGGATTAGTGCTGTTGATATTTTTAAGTTCACTGGCTGTGTTGGTAAATTCACAAGGTTAGTGTTGTTTAGTATAGAAATGTCCTAGTGGGATGTGATTTTGAGTGTATAGAGTCTAGCAAGGCTTATCACACATCTCAAAATGGTAAAAATTGTGCAATTTTCATAATATTTAAAACTAGAAAAACTGTGAAGATTTCAAAGATTTTTAAAAAATTAAAAGTGCCTTAAAGTTTGGTGAATGGAACTTCTAGTGCATCAGGAAGTTAATATAAACAATTAGCTAGAGATCCTTTAAAAAAACAGCTTAACTTCGATAAAAGTCCCTAACAGACAAAGAGCATGCTCTCAATGAGTATGCTCACTAAAATATACTAGCTGAGTTTGCTCACGAGTTAACTCAGTCAGTACATTTAAGTGAGCATACTCATTGAGAGCATGCTCTTTGTCTGTTCGGGAGTGGCATTCTCAATCAGTTCAGATCAACTGATGTGCTATAGAAAGCTAGTGAGGCAGAAACAGCCCTGAAAACTTCTGCAAAAAATTAAATAAAAATATTTTATCATATTTTATGCTTGTTGACATTAGTTCTCTGGAGTTGTCAACAAAATATGATGACTCATGTTAGCCTTGAGATGGTTTAATACTGCAGCTTAAAATATAAATTTCCTTTCATCCGTTTAATTTATCATTTCCTCAAAATATCTTTATCCCGTTAAGAATTTCTTCAATGAACAAGTTTCGCACGTTTAAGTCAGTCACCAGACAGTTCTCAATTCCAAACTAATGTCCAAAGATTTTTAAAAATTACCATAATGATGGGATCGTCTGCAAAAAAATATTTGACACTTATTTGATCAGAAGATTCTGTGACAAGAGATGTTTGCTTAATGAGAACAGGTATCTGCACAAAAATGTCCAATAAAAAATCTTAATGATGATTTTTTGGCATTGAATCGATTAGTATTCAGCTGCAACTTATTTGTTTTATGTGATTCATGTTTGTGGTAGAATAAAAATCAATAAGGAATAAGCTTAAATTGACAATATTGTGTGACTTAATGGATAGTGAAGATTGTGTAAAATATTTGCTAAAGAATTTATTTTAAGGGATTCCCAAAGTTTATTTAAATAGCTTAAATGTTAATCTATTAAGAATGACAAATCAATTTTAGCAATTTTATAATCAGCCGTGTTAAACATTCAGACTTTATTGCTGATTATAAAATTTTTATTGCTTCTTATTGATGATTCAGCCTAGTTTTATCATATCAAAGCTTAACTTTTAGGTTTATTCAAGTTTGGATACTCTTTGGAGTATTTAAATGTTCAAGACTTCGGATATAGCTTCTAGTGCTTTTATATCAGCTTTTGTCAGCATGATTGTCACTCTAGACATGATTCCTGAATCTTCATCAACTCAAAAATCAACATCATAGCAAATTAAAGTTCCCAAAAGTCACCAAGAACCTTAAAAATCGTTTACTAAAATCTCAAAATTACTTTACATTAGCTTCAGTTTCACATCAAAAATTCCCACAATGTAAAGTAAATTTTCAAGTTTAATAATTAAGTTACCACAACAAAATACTCGCGAAGGTCAATCCATTGAATCATTTCATTAACACTTAAGCCACAAACGTAGACTGAGACTTTTTCTTACAGACAAAAAATTTCTTTTGAGGTTCGTTTGTCATGCAAACATTGAAATCTTTCACAAAATTAATTAATTCTTGGATACTTAAGATTGAAGAATTTTGAGGTGTGACTAGATTCTTCTTGTGTTAAGTAAATTATTGCTGAATTTTGGGAATGTTTGTTGATTCTGTTATGGTTAGGTTTGATGAATAACGATCGCGAATTATGTAGAAAAAAATTATGAAAGCTGTTAAAAATTGTCAAATTTGTTTTAAGTCATTAGAACAACATATAAGGAAGAATAAGCTTCAAACAAATAGAAAACCAATAAGCATCCATAACTAAGCAAATCGTCTTTAAAATCAATACAATCTTCATCTTCACTTTCCGTTCCACGTTTTATTTATCATAGAAATGTGCTAATCATCAATTTTTCTTTGAATTCTATTTTTATCTTAACTCTCAGGTGAATCATGTACAGCATATGACAAACAGCGTGGTCAATGTGTAGCACTGCCGAATTGTAATAGCCTCATATCACTTTATCGGCAAGATCGGTCGCAAAATACAATTAATATTTTACTTGCAAACCAAAAAAGCTGTGGCAACAGAAAGTCTGGAAGGAATCCATTAATGTGTTGTAGTGATGGAGTTCCACAACAAGTTGCGCCTCCTATGAATCAAAGGACAGGTCCACCTTGTAGAACACCTGATGAAATCAGTGGATATTGCATCAATGTTAAGCAATGTCCAGTTGTACTTAATACATTCATACAAAGACAAAAGGATCCAGAATACATCCAATATATAAGAAATTCAAATGCCAGATGCGATTATGCAGCACAAACAATTTGTTGTCCAAATGAAGATTCACCCGCTACACAACCACCTCCACCTCAAACATCACCAGCATCACTTTCGTCTAGATCTCAATTATTCACACCACCACGATGCGGTATGAGTAAAGTTCCACATAATCGTGTTGTCGGAGGTGCACCAGCAAAGCAAGGTAAACAAAGACTTTTTTCAAGTTCAATGAAATCAAGTGCTTGGAATTCCCGTACTAATGTTTATTCTCTTTTCCGTTTCTTCTTTTTAGGAGGGTAAGGTCTCATTCATAGTAAAATTCTTTTGATTCATAAGCTACAAATTATCGATTGATCAGCACGTATGTGTAAGCTTTTTTTTAATTTCACGTTTTATTCATAATTTTAGTTGGCCATGGATGGCATTGCTCGGATATCGTAATGATCTCGGAGAGGTATGATGACTTTATAGTTTATTTTATTGCATTTCATTGAAAGGGAAATTTTTTGAGCAAGTTGAGACAACTGTTGAGTTTTAATGGAATTAGGGAGACTGAAGTTTAATCAAAACCATTAATTGTCGTCAGGGGCGTAGCTAGGAATTTGAAGAGGGGGGGGGGGGGGGGGGGATAAAAAATTTTTATATTGAAAATTCAGAGGGAAGGGGGGGGATTTTTAATGTTTTTTTCATAAAATTCCTAGCAAAATGAAGAAATTTCTGTTAACGTCGGGGGATTGTTTCCCAAATCCCCCCTGATTACATGACAATTTGTTGTTCATGTTCATCAATAATGACGCAGCATAATAATAATGAAATCGTAGCTACTTATTAGAAAAGGGATTCACTTACTTACATATTTGACTAGGGTTCATCTCAGAACTTTTTCACTGTTACTTTCCGATGCATCCGCAAATCGAGGATTGATTCAGCCTTCTTCGTAATTTTTTGACATCTACAAAGTCAGGTCCAGTCACTGTTAACCAGATTTTGAACATTCTTAAACGTTACTCTGCTGTGTTTCTAAATAAAACTTAATGAATCAATAATTTGATCCAATTTCCTAGCAAGTCTTAGTCATTGTCCACTACAAAAACTTCCTAAACGGAAATAAAATGTTTTCTGTATGTAAATTCTATTCCTGTTGAGTCAAAAGCTATACAATAGCTGTATTAAAGCAACAAATGAGAATCTAATATTCAATTTATTCATTTATAATGACATTTAAGGATTGATTGTAAACTGCTGTCCAAATAGCTACTAATTATTGCTGTGAATAATTTTATGGTAATTTTATTGACAAATTAAAAGTTAATTTAAATGTTTATGACTGCATTCAAGGCATAAACATTTTCTTGTGTCGATTTTATTGCATCATAAATTTTATGAACTTTTGTAAAATCACTTCTGGATGCTATAATTAGGGATATTTAGGAGCTGATTTACTTTGTAGCTTTTATTTGGATTCACTTATAATTATAAAGGCGTCATTCGCTAATTATCAAAGCAAACTAAAGTCACGGAATCAACTTATGATAATTAGATATCCCCAGCCTTAAATATTCACTGTGCGTAATTGGTTCATTTTAAAAGATACTAAAAACCTCTGAAAATTCCCCAAAAACTTATTCCCACGATCCAGTGAGTCACTAAGACTTAAAACAATCAACCTTTTCAGTCATTTAGACGCTTCTGTTCAATGACTGTGCAACTTTATGTTTTCATTCAATTCTTATCATTCGCATAATAAATAGAACAATTAATCCTCAAGGTCATTCACACTCTCGTCACTTTGTTTGATTGATGTGGTTTTCTACTATATTTGGGTCAAGAATATGAAGCATCAAGGAAGTTTAAATTTAATTAGATGATTTACTGAACGATGTTGCTGCATTTAGACCGCGTAATGGATTTTTTGTGTTTTGAAGTTCTTGACTTAATTTTAGATTATTTTATTTCTACGAAATTTGAATTTACTGCTCTGACTATTTTTGACTTTAGATGAATGAGGAAGTGCGAGTCATTGAGACTATGCTCAAACAAAATTTAAAACTCAACCTAACCTCAACCTAACCTCAACATAACCTCAACCTAACCTCAACCTTACTTCAACCTTACCTCAACCAAACCAATAATCACGTTCATTAAACTATCAATTTCTCTTCCAGCTCGGCTGGAAATGTGGAGGTTCAATCATCAGCAATCGTCACATTCTGACAGGTAATATATCGTCATGTCATGCAGTCATGTTTACATTCTGCCTTACTAATGATTTACTTTTCTAATTTACATTATTTTTTCTAGCTGCTCACTGTATCCGCAATGATTTGTAAGTGACAAGAACTGCATTCTGAATTTTAATTAAATAATTCAAAAAAAATTTTTGTTTTTGTAGATTTGTTGTTCGATTGGGTGAACATGACTTAAGTGATGATACAGAGGCACAACATGTTGATATTCCAGTCAAACAGAAGATTGTGCATCCATCGTATGATAAGAAAGATGGAAATAGTGATGTTGCTATTCTTGTGCTGGAAAATGACATTCCATTTTCAAGTAAGTGCCTTAAGCTCCTTTAAAGAAGCTTACTAAGTTCTTCGTATATCTCCAATAGCTCAAATAACACCAGTCTGCATTCCATTAAACGACGCCGAAAGAACAAGAAACTTTGTTGGATATACGCCATTTGCTGCCGGATGGGGACGAACACAAGAAGGCGGACGGTCAGCAAATGTTCTTCAGGAAATTCAACTTCCTGTTGTAGACAATAATGTGTGTAAAGAAAATTATGCAGCCATTAACAAAGTTGTTACTGAGAAGCAGTTCAATGATGCTGTTTTATGCGCTGGATATGAGGAAGGTGGACGTGATACATGCAATGTAAGTTAAAGTTTGAGAATTTTGCTTTTTTTGTTTATAAAAATGATTTGAAGGCATGACTTGTTTCTATTATAAGCTACAGCTTTAATTCATATTCACTAGACTGCTTTACCGACATAGAAACTGATCAATGCCTGATATTCAATTTTTACAAATTTTGCATAATTTTCATTCATTGTAATAGAACAGCTAATCTTATCATTCCTATCTTATCTTTCTAGGGAGACTCCGGTAAGTCGAAAATCATCATTATAAAAAATCACAAGCACTTGAATGGACATCCATTGTGACAAAAAAAAACTTCAATATTGACGCATCAAATGAATTTTCGTTTGACTTTTAAATTGTTTGCAATTGCCTGCAATGAAGTCAGACAAATGCTATAGTCATCAATTCAATTGATCGTGGCTATTGATTAACAAGATTTTTTGAATAGCAATTTGATCTGGAATGATTTTGATTGACCTTTAAAAGCTATTTAGCTAAGCTGGTGGATACAATGAATTATTATTGAAATTCGGATGATCAAGTTTGACTCTATTATGGATTTTATAGTTGATGCATGACTTCATGTTTTTCGAACTTAAACGGGTTATCTTTTTTGGTCATCAGACAGCTGGGGTTTGCTTCTAGGGCTACTTAGGGTACTTTATACTCTAAGATTCATAAAGCTTGAGTGTGACTAAGCTTGACACTAGGGTACTTTGACTAGCCCTAGAAATTGGCTCCTATAGTGACACCAGGCACTATCATCATCGTTAGGGCGTATCCTAATAATCAGATTCCACAACTCAAAACACATGACCATCCTACAAACCTTCTGTAAATCAATGACCACTTAATGCCTTTTTTTTTTACGTTTGAAAGTAATGACGCCTGCTTTAAAATATTTTCATTTCATCAGCAAAACACTCACGTGCTTAAATACTGATCAATTACAATGAATAGTTTCTTTTGTGCCATTCTACATGTCATGTGCTAATGGAATTTTCTACAGATTGCAAACTCAAAGGTCTTGATGAATAATTTATATTTTAGGTGGTCCATTGATGTTCCCATTGGTGAAAAATGGAGAAGCTAATTACTATCAAATTGGAATTGTATCATATGGAATTGGTAAGACACACAAATTCTATTTTTAAGCACCAACTTCACATATATTTATAATTAAAACATTCTCAAATTGTTTGATGAAAATGAAAAATTCTCAAAACATTGATTCGCGACTCTATCAAAAAAAATTTTAAAACTCCATAATTTGATCATCGCTGTTCTTTATCTTTGATTACGTCATCGCCACGCGAAAGTGAAATAAATGTTTGTAAACACACATGAATGTGAAAATATTTGATGTGGATTTGAAATAATTAGACATGTGATTAATACGGAATAAAAGAACAAAGATTTATTATTTGAATGATCAGCGTTGATTTCAAGGTTGTTCATATTTACGATGCTGTGGAGTCAAGGTTATGATGATGTAGATGAACTATTAAATTGTAAGTTTATTTGAGGTATAAAATTAGGAACTTTTGGTATGAAATCTTCAAATAATAGACTAGAAGCAGGAATAGAGTTGTAGCGTGGCTAAGATTAGCTTGGGTAGGGTTAGCTATGAACAGTAAACTAAGCAAGAGCAAGTTTCAAATATCACATCATGCGGGGTTGAGAATGAATTCACTAGATTATTTTGGAATTTATAAGTCGGTCCAAAGAACAAAACTAATTTTAATGACTCCCAAAAACATCACAAAACATCCAAAATCAAACAGAATTAAAACTAAGCACTTACAAAACAGACATCAACACTTATTAAAATTCAAATAAACACTTTCGCTAATGTTTTATTCCTACCCACAGGATGTGCTAGAGCTCAAGTTCCAGGTGTTTATGCGCGCGTAGCTACATTCTCCGACTGGATTAAAAACATCGTCGAAACAACGTAAACATTCGATTGATTCAAGCTTCTTAGCTTTATGTAACTTATTTTTCTATGTTCAAGTACTTAATAAATTGACAATAAAACAAAATACAGAAAATTTAATTCGATGCTGTTCTACTATTTATTATGTGATAATTATTTTTTAATAGAATTTCAGCCCGTACATGAGAAATGTGTAATTATAAACATGGAGGATATCCGATAAAAGTTTTCATAAGTTGTAACATTGAACTCTGCTGGTTTACCACTGATTTTTTTATCGATTTAAGAATTTATTAACAATTAAACGAGTTTTGCAGAGCTACGATGGGAATATGTGTTGTGAAAAGAGTTCCAATGTTGAATTAAGAAATAAATATGTATATTTCGTTTTTTCATTATTTGTTTGCAATGTCTGTTTAGCATTCTTATATAAAATGACGTGAATGTAAATAAAATATTTAATTTGGATATTACAAAGCAATGGTGGCAAACCTAGATAGTTTAATGACTTGTGTTTTTTATCAGGAAGTATTATGAAATAGGTGCCACTAAATACTACTAAATACTCCTAGGTCCTACTAGATACTACTAGGTACTACTAAATACTACTAGGTACTACTAGATACTACTAGGTACTACTAGATACTACTAGATACTACTAGGTACTACTAGGTACTACTAGATACTACTAGATACTACTAGGTACTACTATATACTACTAGGTACTACTAGATACTACTAGGTACTACTAGGTAATACTAGATACTAGTAGGTCCTACTAGATACTACTAAGTAATACTAGATACTACTAGGTCCTACTAGATACTAGTAAGTACTACTACATACTACCTGATACTACTAGGTATTACTAGATACTACTAAGTACTACTAGGTACTACTAGGTACTACTAGATACTACTAGATACTACTAGGTACTACTACATACTACTAGGTACTACTAGATACTACTAGGTATTACTAGGTACTACTATGTAATACTAGATACTACTAGGTCCTACTAGATACTACTAAGTACTACTACATACTACTAGATACTACTAGGTATTACTAGATACTACTAAGTACTACTAGGTACTACTAGATACTACTAGATACTACTAGGTACTACTAGATGCTACTAGATACTAGTAGGTACTACTAGATACTACTAGATACTACTAGGTACTACTAGATACTACTAGATACTACTAGGTACTACTAGATGCTACTAGATACTAGTAGGTACTACTAGATACTACTAGATACTACTAGGTACTACTAGATACTACTAAATACAACCAGTTACTACGAAATATTCCTAGATTACACAACTTAAAAAAGCAGAGCTACAGAATTAATAAAAAAAAGTTCTGTCATTCAGAACGAGTCCACACATCTAGAACCAATTTGTAAACATTAGATTTCAATTATTTACATAAGATATAAAACCGAAAAGTAAATCAAATATATCAGCATTTCCACGAACGTGACTTAAAAACTATTTCATTTTCTCTCATCCCACTTCTCTTTCCAGTCGGCTTCAAAATAAAAAAAAATAAATTTTTTATAAGCTGGGAATGTGTCCCATTGCTATCACATAACACACAACAATTAATCTTATCTTATCAAAACAGAACAAAAGTATTGAAGAGTTTATAAATTCAGTCACACGTTTACATTCACTACAATGTAGTCAATGACAGTAATGGAATTCCAAAAGTGAACTTAAATGTAATCGGATACGGAATTTTGTGTTAGATTCAATGGAAACTACAAATGTAGAGAAAAAAATTTATTTGCGCAGTCAAAAAAGTACGTTAAGCGAGTCAAGACGTCGGTCCGTTGACGGTGAAAAATAAAATTAATTTAATTTTTTTGTGAAAATATTTTTATGATAAGAAAAAAAAAGATTTTTGGTGCTGACATAATAAAAAGTTGAAGTAGATATAGATAAAAATAAAGTTTTGTGATTCACATTGGACTTTGAACATTGTTTTTTAAGTAATTTAGGTCTAAAAATAAACGGAGGAAATGATGAGTTCCGAGAGTGATAGGAAATCAGCTGATAATTCAGTAAACTTTTGTGTCAGTGATTCCGATGAGAAATACAAAATAGTCAATGAATTGATTACAATGTGTATGAATAATATAGAGCATTACACAACCGATAAATCATTTGCCGGCACGAGATTATGCTTCAATTTTGAGAAACTAAAGGACTATTTAGACAAATCTGTTCCAGTCATAAAAGAAATTGAGGAATTCGCACCATATTATGATTACGATGAGAACACGCCCGGAAATGGTTATCGAAGTTTTGTTTTCATTTTTGAATGTGCACTCAAGTATTCGATGAAAACATGTCAATACATTACTGAGAATCGTGCTAGTTTGCTGTTTCGTAAAAATCTTTATCTCAAGTAATTATCACATACAAGACATTTGAACGCAGTGTTGTTATCTAAGTGCTTTCTTTTGTCGCCGACTATTTTTTTTTTGATTACACGAGTGCTTTTTATCTGTCTTGATTGGTGTTGTGGACAGTGATTGTAGCTGATTTTATGTTGTTTTTTGGTGAATTAATGGCAATGATGTGGCTGGAGGGAGTTCAAGGGTTAAGAAACCGATTCATAGGGTGCCTTAGAATGAGAACTAGTATTCTATTTGCTTTGGCTACTAAGGTAGCAAGGCTAGCCTTAATAATAATGTTACTTACTAACTTTGGGAGCCGTACAAATCAATTGAGATCCATGGTCTACCTCAAATGGCTTCTGCAGCTGTCTATATTGATGACAAACTCTTTCAAAGTCCCAATAACAAATACAATTCTGTCACTAATGACAGCCCCCTTCCATGACTTAGGAACCATTAGCCTTGTAAATCATCAACCCGATTTACCGAAACTTTTTTTATATAAAAAATTGAATTTATTCTAGAAGCATCTAGAAGAAATAAAAATTGAAAAAAAGTACAACATAATTTGAGTACGATTAATACGCAATCAATGCTGTTAATGTCAATTCCTATACGTCAGTGCCGTAGCCACATATGTGTGGGATATTAACTTGTCTCCTGCTGCTTAATAAATCATTCAAAAATCGAGAAATTACAATAATAATGACTTTATGCACTTTAATAACAACACAGCTTCAGCATACATCATTAAATCTCCAAAAAAGGGTTGTTTTCACTAAAACCGGTTTGTTGATGTTTGGATGTTGCGGCAAAGAAATTTACTATTTATAGACATCAATTCAAGGTTATGAAAATCAAGAATGTTTATGGTCTTGCAGCTACTTTTTTCAGATTCAAACATGCAGAGAGTTATGAAAGAGACTGTCAACATGTTGAATGTTTTGATTAAGAAGAAAAATTCTTGTTTTTCGTGCTGCATTTTTATGTTTTTATTGAAAGCAGCCAGAGTTGTTTTAACAATTTGATGTGCATTTTAAAATCTGCTACTTAAAAAATGGAACGTGGGTCTTATCTTCATGGCCTTGAAAAATGAGTAAAATCTTTTCTGGCCTTGATAAATCACTCATCTCTGACTATATTTGAGCGTCCTTGAGAATAAAATAAAATCTTCTCGTAAATGAAAACAAATTCATTGTTTTTTGTTTGTTCTTCTATTTTCTATGATTTGCTCAGATTTACTTCTATTTGCCAGATTTAAATTACTGAAGCTAGATTGATAAAAAAAAATTGAAAGTCGATTTTTCACAAGGGGTCGTTTACTTATGACGTCCGAAATTATAGGTCATTTTTCAAAAACAAACGATGGATTTCTAGTCATTTCGATACCCCCCTCAGTCATTTCTATACATATCATAAGGGAATGGCCTCAACAGTTCTAATGTACTATGGGTCCTCGATTTAAGTAGATTCGATTTGAACTGGATTTTTCTGGAACCTTCTCAAATCAAGGACCCCCAGTATTTATAAAAATCACATGCTATGCAATATTTTTTTTAAATATATTTAGAGCTATGCTAATTTATGTGTAGTAGCTTTATTAGACGGGTTTTAAAATGGTCGAGCATCACTTAGTTTAGAGGTTTTTATAATATGTTAATATGATGCTATAAATAGCTAATTAGTGCACCTTTTTGTGAGATCTCTTGACGGCTAATGTGGTGGATTTACCTAATGTAGTTTACTTATTACATAATGCTTAATAGAGGATCAAGGTCTGCTTTTTTGTTTCATTTTAAACATTCGTATAAAAGGGAGTATAGGGACATTTTTGGAACGGCTCCTATCAAAACAACTTCTTATCTATACAGTTTTGTAAAGAAGTTATTCAAGTTCAAATTTATCAATACAATTAATTAATAAATTTTATTGCTGTCTGGAGTCTTCAAAAGAGAGAGCTTCAAAAATTTTCCATAAAATTATTTTCAGATTAAACGAACGACTTTTAATGTTTTGTCAGATGTGATTCAATTTAGGGAAACTGGGAACACTGTTTTATATTTGAATCAGCTTGTTATTCCTAGAACAGGGATTGAAGCATTTTGTTATGATTTTAGTTCAAACAAAATCAAGTACCTGGTGCCAGAAATTGAGAATATTGTACATATTCGTCCAAACTTAAACATTTTAAAGTCCACAACGTTTTGTTTGTATCTAAAAAGGCTTACGTCTTTCAAAACATACCCACATAAATAATATCTTCAACAAAAAATAACGACACGTTCCTAAATCTTCAATCACACCACAAAATGATTCCAATCAGCCCAGAAAAACACAATTTTTCAAAATAAATAATTTGTTTCTCTTTTCAATTTGCAGGGAACTCGACGTATGTACGCAAATGATAGAAAGCCTTTATCAGATATGTGCAGATTTAATCAAAATGCATGAAAATTCGGATCAAGGAAATTTATATTCAAAAGAATATTCACATGATAATTTAATTACGCGTAGCGCAAAGGTTACAAACCAAACATGCTTCTATGGACGTTCTGTAGGATTTCAATTTGTTGATTCAATGAAAAGTATTTTGAAATTTCTAAGTGTCACGTTGGCATGCTTTTCCGAGGCTTATTTCTCAAATGGATTCAAATTTATGCGAACAACAAATTATTTCCTAAAACATCCGTCATATTTTATGGATCCTGAAATGTGTGCTAGACGTATCATCAATGTCAGTCATAATGCTGATGTGAAATTTTGCAAGGTAAATAATCATGTGATACTTTTTGCGCTACAAATTATTGAAACAACTTTATTTGCAGTCATTTTGGATGCTCGGTGAGAATAAACTCATGCATGCACTGCCTCGACTCGTTGGCTATCAAGTTGATGTCAATCGTGTCTTTAAAATTCCACCTGAGCCCCTTGAAATATTCAGCAAGAAATTGAACAAAATGATTAGTATTCCAATACCGCATAGTCATATTGGTCGACAGCCAGTTTCATGCCGTTTACTTTGTGCTACTCGAAGGCGAGGAATGGTTGGTGAAAGGTCTGCACAGAATTTGGCTGAGCCTTCTAAGCATTTGATAATTCATACGCATGGTGGAGTGAGTAGCTTAAAGAATTAATTTTAAGGAATTAATAATTTTTGTTATTTATACAATTTTAGGGCTGGCTGGCAACAAGTTCAAAATCACGTAAGAAACCTTATTGCTGCATATGCAAAACTATTTAAATGACTCGAATCGCTGAGTAATTGTATTTTGTAAATTGATGACTTGTCAAATTGCTATCACAATTCTGGCGTTGCTACCCGTTAGCAAAAAATTACTAAATGTAGACAGTAACAATAACATAAGACAAGTATATAGGTCAAGGCTAGTCATTGATATTGCAAGCTATCGACAATAACAATGGTTGATTCCATTGAAGCTTAAGAATTTTTATCCACTGAACAGTCGTCAACTAACTGATGAACAACCTCAAATCAACCCCTCCCTTTCCCTATAATAATCATGCAACCCAAATTAATCGCGTATTTACTTCCTCTTCCAGATGAGTTCTATCTTCGCGAGTGGGCCAGTAGACTAGACATCCCAATCATCTCCATTGACTATGCCCTATGTCCAAAAGCACCATTCCCACGTGGTCTTGAGGATGTGTTCTATACTTACTGCTGGATACTCAAAAATTGTGAACTTTTAGGAACTACAGCTGAAAATGTCGTCTTTTGTGGTGACTCAGCTGGTGCTAATTTAAATACATCATGCATTATTAAATGCATTGAGATGGGAGTTCCACTGCCAAAAGGAATTTTCAATGCTTATAGTCCATTTTTAGTGAATTTTGCATCCACACCAGCTAGATTTTTGACACTTGTTGATCCTTTAGTTCCATATGGATTTATTATGAGAATTTTCAAGTGCTATGGAGCATCAAAGCCTTTTGATAATACTGAAAGTGTTGATGACATTGATGAATCACTTAAAGACGAGTCATTCACAGATGTTAAGGATGAAAAAGAGTTTTCAGCCCTTATGTCACCTGATAGCTCTAAATGCTTAGAAATAGTCTGGCAAAAAGTTAAGCACAGCACTGAAACACCTGATTGGCATTCAAACTTAAATTCAATTGAAGAAAATTCGACTGAGGATCCAATATCACCGTTGATCTATAGAAGTGACAGTATTTTTGAGCCAAATGTTGTTGATGAAACTGATGATGACGATGGGGATTGTCTGGAGATGAAAATTTCACAAAGAAAGGATGAAAGAGATTGTGATCAAAAAGAAGATGAAGTTGTTAAGGATGAACATAAGGAATATGTTGAGAATTTCGTCAAGAAGTAAGTTGTGGCTGATAATGTTGTATTGTGTATAAGAATTCATAAATTGATCTATACTTTTAGGTACGAGAGCAACGATTTCAACAAAGACAATGACTCAGTTAATATCAATGATAAGCCTAATGCCTTAAAAGTTCGTCTTAATTCCCGAACATTTAGTGAAGATAATATTGTAGTGGATGTCAGTAAAGAGTCAATGAGTCCACAAGGTCTTCTTAATTCGGCTGTGTCTGGTATCAAGAGTATGATTGATGGAGCAACAAATGAGGAAGAACATAACGATAATAATAACAACAATAATGAAAAGCATGCAGATACTTTAAAGAGGAACTATGCATTTACCGAGAAAAAGCAAACAAATGAAATTCCAAAAGCAGCAGAAGATGAATTTGTTTTTTCAGTGCCTAGAAATTATTTAATGTCACCATTCTTAGCGTCTGATGACATTTTGAAACAATTCCCGAAGATCAATATTTTAACAACCATTGTGGATCCATGCCTTGATGACTGCATTGAATTTTCGAAGAAGTTAAAGAAACTTAATGTTGATGTTGAGCTTGATATTGTTGGTGCTCTGAATCATGGATTTTTGAACTTTTCAAATGTAATTGAATTATTTGATCTATTTATTAGAGTTGTGTGCCTTTTTGTGACAGTTTTGAGGATATTTTGTCGAGACAAGAACCCTACAGGCGCATTGTACGGTCAGCTGCTCTGTACTAAGTTTATGAACACTTTCTAGACTCTTGAAGACGACTAATGGATGATTTCAAGAACTTTAAATGCTTTTTTGTAATTTTTGTGCCAAATCTTAATTAAACAGAATTAATCAAATGAGATTAAATGACAAACTTGGGTTGTTGACTGATCAATCGACTGACAAGACTGACCTTCAAATAAATTAATTTATTCCGCAGCATAAATATTAATAAATAGTTTTCAAACTGCTTTACCGACTGAAATAAAAATAAGTCACACAGTTTAATGACCTCAACTATCACAAAAATGCGATCTGTACTCAATGAAAATTTTGATCAACTGCTAATGTCAATTTATATTTATTCTATAGGTTTCAAAGGAATGTCATGATGCCTCTATGCTGTGCCTTAAAAGAATTGTGAAACTTCTTGATATGGATAAAGATATTGAATGAGAGTCAGCTTGGATGTTTCATCTAAATAGCTAGATGCAGGTTGTTTAAATTTAAAGCTTGACGTGACTTCAAAGGCTTAAAAATTCAAATGACTTTAAATTGATAATTAAATAGCATGTAAATTACTATTGACAATAAAAATTCCATTGGATATGAACTTTTGATGCTTTTTATTCAATTCTAAGATTCGTTGAAATTTAGGATTTGTTTACAGATGATAGCAAGAAGATGCAGTTGCTTAACATGAAGATCATCAGCAAAAGATTTCAAAACTATGCTGCTGTGTCGACTCAAATGAACTTGATCTCCATGAACTTACTGCATTCAATGCCACTTAATTTAGTATTTTAGATGTCAAGTTATATGAATAGCTTTGTCGTAAGGTTTAAACTTTGTTTGTCATTCATTCAGACTGAGTAAATCTTAATTGATTTTCAAAAATAATTATTTGAATTCTCTTGGAATAGATTTCAATCTTTTATGTTTGAAGCTATAGAAACATCTGGAAGGAAGAAGCAAACTTCTAGATGACAAAACCACAGAAAAAATTTGGACTCCTAATAACGGATCCCGAGTGGGACTAGAACCCACGTCCGACGATTTTTGGTCGCATGCTCCTGCCACTGAGCTATTGCGGACTAGATGACTATATGGCTAAATCCCATATATAATTAAGCACTTTTACATAGAATCACATATTTCAACAGGAGCAATGGTCTGGAGCTTTAAAAACATTCTATTAAGTTGATCAAACCCTGAGAAATTTCAGATTTCAATCTTTTTACTTGAAATATTATCTAAATGAAATCAACGCGTGTTAAGAGAGATTTACAAATTGTTACAACTTGTAACTTTGATTCTACATACTCAAAACAAAATGACTTTTATCGATCATATCTTAGAATCACATCTTAAGAAAGTTCTAACATTGATTTCCTGAGTAATTTGTTTGCTGAAGATTTGTAGGAGCTTCCTTTCTTTTATATAAAAGTGGAATAGAAATGAGTTCTAGAATCATTGTGTTCTTAGTTCTTAGAGTTTACAGCAGCATTAGTTTGAAAAAAGTTTAAAATTCATTAGAATTATGAATTTATCACTGATCAACTTGATTTTAACAACATTGCTTGCTGTTTTGGTGGAATCAGCGACTGGTAATTTAAGAATTCCTGTAATAATTACTTCTTTACTGTTTCTTTTCATTAGATGGAAGTCCATGCACAAACTTTGACAAATCTTCAGGAATCTGCAGACCTTTCAAGTAATAACATTTGCATTTCTTATTCTAATTCGAATATTTAGAAGAAGTGAAGCTTCTTTCGTAATGCTTGCATTAAATTATGTTCTTAACTTTCCAGCAAATGTGACTGGGCTATGAAAAAAATCAAAAGGAAAGAAATTACTTCAAAGCAATTGGTTCGATGCGGATATAAAAATCGTGAAGTAACCGTGTGCTGCAAAACAGAAAGCAATGTACAAAACAAGATGCAGAGCATGAAGTACATCATCAAATTACTTTTAATATGAACCAAATGATTTTTGTATCAAATTTGTTGTTTCAGAAAGAATTCATCGTCAATCGTGACAAGTTCAAGAAAATCTGTTCAAGCTTGTGACAAAATTAAGAAAGTTCCATTGCCAATCCATTCTGGGTATATTGTTGGAGGGAGTGCAGCTGGAAAAGGTATGCTGGTGATCATCTTAGATATTAAACTTATTCAAGAATTAGTCATCTTGAGCATCACTAGAAGCAAGGGTGTGCAACTGATAAATCAAATTTTAATCATTTTCAACTATCTAAATCAGTTCCAGACCCTTGACTAGATCTGATGTTGATCTAGCTTACAGTTTTGTTATCAGTAGCTACATACCCGAATAGCACCAGTCGGATAATCGAATAAAAATCCTGCACCATGTTGGCATAACTCTGACACAGTGCCGGATTCGATTTAAATCCAGCACCATGCCAGACTCATATCGGTTTGGTGCCGGATTTCTAAATAATCAATCAACTTGTGCCATTTGGGATATATCTCATATTAATTTCTATATTTGTAAAAATTAGGTGAATTTCCACATCATGCTATGCTGGGATATCCAAATAATCTAGAAAGCAGTTACTCTTATGGGTGTGGAGGCAGTTTGATTAGCAAAGCAAGTTTATATCATTAAAAATTTAATTATGATTCATTTTCTTGTGATGTCCATCAAATAAATATGGCTTTAATTTACTTTTTCCTTTCTAGTTCTTCATTTTGACTGCAGCGCATTGTGTCAATAGTGAACTGAAGAAGCCTAAAGTTGTAAGATAAATATTGCCTAATTTACAAGCTTTTGTTGGTATGGCTTTTTATTTTGCAAACCTTTTAGATTCTTCTTGGCAAGACTTCTTTAAATGACGATGATCATCTCAAATCCATAAAAATCAGCATAAGGGTACGATTAATAAAAATTCTGTACAATTTTTGAAAACCCTCAACTTTTGCATCTTCAATTTAAATAGGAAGTTTTCATCCATCCAAAATTTACATCCAGAAAAAAGTATGACGACATAGCACTGATAAAAATGGTATCACCTGTTGCATTTACAAAATACATTAAACCTGGTATACTTTACTTTCTCATCAATCAAGCAGCTTATCCATTGTTTAAAATACTTTCAGCATGTTTGTACACAAAGACCGGCTTGTTGACAGAAGCATCAATTATAACGTAAGCATTTACTAATTGTTTATGTATAAAGTCATAATCATTTGGAATTAATTTGTTAGTGGTTTTGGAGTGAATGAAACGCAGTCGGTTAAGAGGTAAGCATTTGAACGTCAGAATATGGACGTAATAATTAGTTGACATTTTGATTGAGCTAATCCATTAATTTGGAACTTCATTTATTATCAGCACAAACTGGCTAATGCGTGCAGACCTGTATGAAGTTCCTCTAAATGAATGTCGAAAGAAGTACGCACTCACTGGCTTACCAAAATTACCAGACAATCTTAGACAAACTCAAATGTGCGCAACAAACAAGAATGCTAATGGAACTATCATCGATGCATGTCAAGGTGAGATTTTGCTACTTTTTGTGATTTTGAATTTACGTAAATTTACTTTTAAATAATTTGGATAGGTGATTCAGGTATACCACACACGTTTCTAGAATTATTTATCAATATTGATTGACGTTTTTCGCGAATGAAGGTGGACCATTGCAAATAAGAGGAACGTTTAACTACAGCACATATTACACAATCGTTGGTGAGAATTTTTTGTTAATTTTTAAGAATCACTGAATTTCAAGTGAGTCCAAGGAGTTTATTAAACTAATGGCACGTGTTGTCGTCCTGGCTTGGTGCCATATTTAATTTTCCCACCACCTTCTCCTTACTTTACACTAATTATATCCAAATCACTGCATATCTGAATTATTTAATAGGTATTACATCATTTGGCAGTAGTTGTGGTTCATCAATTCCAGGTAAGAATTTTCTGTATTTCTATAATAAGCTTTGGATTTAAATATTTGATTCCAGGAGTATACACAAGAGTTGCAGAGTATCTCGACTGGATTGAGTCAATAGTGTGGCCTAAGAATGTCATTGTATGATTTTTAAATTTATGAATGGCTCAAATAAGATGCCTAGCTTGAAAAAGAGTGATAAGGTCTGAGGGTGTGAGGTCCATGAGACATTTCTAATTCATTTCTAATTTTATACTGTCATTTTCTTTTAAATATGTTCAAAATTGCCATGAATAAAAAATTATTTATAAACTAAAATATTTTTTGAGTCTAAAGAACATCTTCTTCAACAACAACAAGCTCTCACTCAATTCTTTTGTGTTTACATCTTAGCGGATTAGTTGATTAACTTCCAAAAATTCTTTCCCATACAATTATTTAATACTTCAATTCACACTTAAGTTCTTTGATGCCCTTAGAACCTTTGGCAATCAAATAAAATTAATCGATTGATGACGACCTTGGTAATCATCGTACGTAATATTACGTCAGTACAAAAAAAACAACAAATATCGAAACTACTTATACTAATTACTGAATGGATATGTCTGTTAAGTTCAATGAATGTACATAAATAACTTTAAAATGAAGTCATACGCATGATAAGAAACTGAGCTTATAAACAGAAAGAGAGAATTTTGAGCTATATTTTGTTTTGAGAGCATGCAGCTCAAAAATCATCTGTTTTTTATTAATCTCTTAAATTGAGTGTAAATTAGAGACAACAACAAGAATCTCTCACGTTTAAGTCGGCAGTACTTATTGTAGAACAAATGCTAATTAGTGTAATTATTGTTTAATGATTGTTGAACTAGAATAAAGAATTATTTTTTTAAAAAATAATGACATCCCGAGGTATGATTGATTTTTTTAAGTTTGAGACAGACTTAAGGACGTGAAAGATTTTAATTTAAAGTCAGGAAAGTCAAGTTAATCCTTCGAGACTTAAGGATTTACCTATAGTGACCCAGTTGATCAGAATGCACTTGTTTGGTTTGAAAGGCTAGAATTCAACATCGAATTCAATCTTTACTGACTTAATGCCAGATTTTCAACTTGTGCTTTTCGAGAATGTAGCAAAGTTCTTGAAGTTAAAGTTTGAATTAAAAGACTCTCAAGAATCCCTTCAATACTCCATGTAAGAAATGTAATCGAAAGAAAAAAAACAAGACGGATGAAAGAATATTCAGCGCTTGTGTTGTCTAAGCCAGTGTTGATACCTAGCACTTGACTTTAAATTGGTGGACCTAAGCGTAGGCGATTTGAAATCAATAGCACAAGTCTTTGCCTTCGTCAAAGGCAATTTTTTTCGCATTTGCCTTTTTTGCCTTAGCAAAGGCACGGCTTTGCTAGATCAAAAACAAAATCTGGTCAGATGCAACTTTGTATCAACCAAGCTCGGAAACTAAGTGGTATTTTAAAGGCGGTATTTCATATAAAGAGGTGGTATTTGGGGGTATTTGTATGGAAGTTGGTTGTATTTGGTATTTGTATCAACACTGGTCTAGACAGAATCTGGGGGAACTAACCATATATTATGCAAATCCTGCCAGTCCAAGATAAAAGCCTGTGGCAAAGAGGTAAGGCTAAAGACCAGATACCCTCCATTGTGAAGGGCATGGGTTCGATTCCTATCAGAGACCAATCTTTCAATCCATTACATAGATAGCCCACGTAACCAAAATCGCCGTTAATGAAAAAATCGACTTAAATGTACAATTTTTTGGATGATCCAATAGACGTCGATTTTTCATCCATTACATTCGTTTTTCTTGAGCCGCTATATACTTCACAAGTGCAATCAGAAATCACTTATATAAGGCACAGCCAAATTTTCATACAAAGTGTGATTAATTAATTAAATTAATTACATGCGAATCATTCATCTAAATGAAGACTTCGACTCTTTTTTCAAAGACAAAATCCTTAATTAAGTTTTTTTTGGATTTTGTCTACAAATTATACTATAATTAACAAAAAATATTTTCATACAAAAAAATTCAAAATTTTTCCGTTAATCGGTTTTTATATTGTAACGGTCAAAAAAAATTTCATTTTGGTTCAAAAAAATAATCGACGTGAAATCGACATAAAATCGACTAAAAATCGTCCCTTTTCATATTAGCATAATGTCCAATGTACGATACATGGAATGTACATATGGAACATACATGGAAGATTTTGATGTAATACATAAAATCTTCCATTCGTCGACTTATGGTTACGTGGGAGTGTTGTCGATAGGATAAAAATTTGCACAATACTCACGACATTACCTACCCTAGAAAGCTTTAAACACGCAAAATTTAAATAAAATTCATGTTTTTGTTTGTTTTGATTTTGAAGTTCTAATTAACAAAAACAAATGTTTAAGAATCATTAACATAATTATTCGCACTTACTCCTGGTTCTTTTCATGATTTATTCTACAATTTAAGTTCAAATTATCAAATAATTAGTTTTATTAACATATTATTCTTGTTTGAATTTCGCACAAAGCAAAATCTATCATAAAAATACTAGTACGATGTTTGCCTTGAGAGAAACTATAAGCAAACTGGGTCTCGTGCTACTCTGGAGATATGACCAATGACATTGAAATGCTTCCTCTTAATTTTTATACTTATGACATATTTGCTCACATTGATTTATAATTACAGGAGTTATTATTTAATAATTGCTAAAATATATGACAAATGTTTGAGTAAGTTTGAGGCTAATTATGGTATATAAACAATAATGAAGAAGAATTAAATTTTTCACACTATGGGGTCGTTTGTAAGTTACATAAAGAATTTTTTTCATAAGAACTTGAGTCTCGAGTAGGGTCCGAAAACCCTTGGCAGCAAGCTAGCATTTAGAATACTTCCGAATATCGTAATGACCGCTACGGACCCCTTAAAAAATGTCAAAAAATTCTTAATTGCACGATATTACAAATCAAGACATCATCAAGACCGACAATGGATCTGATCACTTCCTTATAGCATTTTTGCAAATCTAATTCCTGTCAGCGTGAAGATTGTGCGTCGAAAATCAAGTGACATTTACAGAAATACACAAATTCTTTAATTTTGCCAAACATGTCCATAAAATCTTGATAAATCGCACGAAAAAAAAAAGCAAGAATATTTTCAGGAACATATCTCTGTGTTCGCTGTAGAATGAGACAGAAAATATATAAAATAAAAAAGTCTGCTCTCTTGCTACAAAAAATGTTTTTCTTCGTATTTTGTATATGCACAGTTGTTAGTAGCTATATTTGCTAAGGCTCACATGTACGTATCAATTCAGTTGCTTTTTAGACATCGTACGACGGAGCTCGTTCGGAAGTGAAAATTAAGCTTAGATAAAGTTGCTGAAAAATTAAAAATTATTTTTAAAAAATTTTTATAAACATTTAAAATTGAAAAAATAATTGAAAAAATTAAAAATCGAAAAAAAATTCGCATCGCCAAAAAATGAAATCAAAAATCGAAGACAAATTCGCAAGGCTTAAATTCGTCCCACCGAATTTTGAAGTCGAACATTTACAAACAAATGTATTTGATAATTATAATTATTTTTGCACTCATAAGAATCCCGAGTCGTCACAACTAGCCAGTGCTCTACAAAAGTTAAATGTGAATCTTGAAAAATTGTCAGTTTTAAAAGTGATTTTAGAAAGTCGTGCACGTGAATTTGACTACGATGAGAATACACCTGGAAATGGATTTTGGAGTTACATTCACAATTTTGGATGTGCTGTTAAAATTGTTAGAAAAATTTGCAATCAATTGACAAAGAATCGGGAAAAGATGCTGTTTAATAAGAAGTCATGCAGCAAGTAAGTTTCAAATTGCAATTAAAATTTAATGGAAAATTTTACGACAATATTGTTTGTCTCGAGAGCTGATTAGCTGTTCCCCTTGAAATCTTTGCTGAGATTCTTTCTAAATGCACTTAAAGCTATCGAGAATAATAATTAAAATTAGAATATCAATTAATAGAAAAAAAATGGAAAATATATGCAAAACTTACTAGTGCGATTTGAGAATTACTAGAATTCAATGAATTAGAAAAATTAAATAATTAATAAGACCTGATCCAGTTGTGATATTCAGTTCGGGATTGAATTTGATGACAGGTGTATTAAAAAGTCACGTAGCCAGTGAGATTACTTGTCTAGTCAAAAAATAACGTTTAAAATTGCTAGGGTTTTAAATAAGGCTCTTGAAGTTGTGAGAATCTAAAATCAAGAACCGCGAAAAGGTTAAGATTAAGATTCAAGACAGGGCGTAATCAGGGAATGGGGATCTTTAGGAGCAGAGCAACCCCTTCCCTCATGAAAAATCTTGGCTACGCTCCTGATTCAAGAGTTTAAGAAAACTTAGAGTGATCAAGCGTGGTGTCGAAGCAGAGTAGAATCTAAGGTATCAAGCCATCTGTAAGCAATTCTGTCAGATCTTGATTGAGGCATCTATGGCACGAGTGGCAAAGCTACATATCAGATATGTGAAACCTTGATTTATGAGGATGTGGGTTCGATTCCTACCAGACACCGATCTCTCAAACTATTCCAAAGCGTGATTGTCGATATGACAAGGATGTCACAATACTCACGACATTAAACCAAGGAATAAAAATTCAGAAAATCAGATACGTCAATTATCCTCAAACCCCAATCGTCAAACATCAAAATTTGCCATTATAAATTTCCAATTAAGAATCCAAATATGCATATAATGCAAATAACAAATATTTACCGTCAATCACCCTACTCAAAATAATCATCAATTAATAAAACTTCATTTTGTGGACTTTTGACTTTTATCATCCACATTTCAAAGGTAAAAAGAACAAAAATTCCATCCAATTTAACGATAAGAATAAGATAATCACTCGCGTGTGTGCGCTAGTTTTGTTCAACTTAAATTGAAAGTGCAAATAAACTAAATTGTGTCACACTTCTTTTGTGTATCGCTTTCTGAAGCTCAATAATTCACACGCAAATTAATTAGATGAGTAGTAAGTTTATGACTTCATAAGTTTAACATTGAACGTGATTTTAGCCAATTTAGTACACACATAATTTTACAATCAACATGTGTGTATATGAAATTTAATTGGAAATGACTTTTCGTGACTTGAAATGACAAAAAATAATCAACTCGTGCTCATCAGCTGTGCGTCTTGTTCTTCCCTTTGGAAATTTTTTTGATCAATTGTTGTTTTGAATTGTTGCGTGAATCTGAGAATTGTTTCAATTGGAAGCATGTTCGAGAAGCTAATTAGATCAAATTTCGGAAGCTAGCGTTTCACCTTGAAAGCTAGTCAATCATTAATGAATGGAATATGAAGTTGTAGCCGGCGTGTTATGAATGGAAGTCAAGAAAATGTTTAGAGTTTTTGGGGTTATTGATCAACTACGTCTTACTAGAGAGAGTCACAAAGTTTTTAATTAAATGTATTGTTTTAGCAATTAAAGAATAACCAAAAATGCATGATAAAGTTATAAGCAATTCCTTAAAAATCTGACAAAATCATCCAAAAGATACTTTCGAGAATATTTAAATTAACTTGAAATTGAGCTTTTACGTATCCCTTCATAGACTGGTGATTTCAAGCATACAGCACATCAGAAAAATGCCAAAAAAAATTATTCAATATTCAAAAAGGGTCATCGATTTTATTTATTTATTTTTTTTTTTTGTTTCCATTCCAATTCTTCTTTTTATTTCTACGTCCTATTAAACTGATTATTGATTCTCAATACATACGAAACGATGTGTGATTTAATATCAATGCTTACACATTTAATTGCTTTCAGTGCTGTTTATTTTGTGTGTGCGTGCTGAAAATAAAGAAAATTGAGAATTAGAAAATAATTGGTTTGTTCAATCGTTATTGATGCTTAATTACGGAAAATGTTTGACTTTTTATTTAAAGTGTCGGGAATGCATTGAAGGGTTAGTTGAGGTTGTCGATTCTAAATCATTTTAATTGGTTATTTCTGTAAAATTTGAGTTTAAATAAGTCATGGCAAATTCTTAAATGTGCAACGCAGGGTTGCAGCTAGAAATAATTGTTTTAGTCAAAACGAGACAACTTGTACATCAACTAGATATTAATCCTTGAGTTTCTAAAGCTAATAAATGAAGTAATCAATTTTTCGGTCGATGTCATTTGCGAACAACCTCCTCCTAGCAGATCTGAGGAATTTGTAAGGCAATCATGAGCTCATCTTCTTCAAATATCGCTTCCATCCACAACCCTAATCTGCTGCAACTCTCATTCACGTTATCCATCACTGCTTCATCTTTTTAAAATGATTTCAAACTGTTTTTACAGTAAACAACATTAAATTTCACTTTTTTATGAAAATGATGGATCTCCATGCATTAAATCTGCATCAATTATCTTAAAAATTTTAATGCACCTTTAAATTTCTCACTCTAAATAATTAATAACTGTATGCAACAGTATAATGCTTAAGCTTCCAATACTTCCTACAAAAACAAAGCTACAAGAACGAAGAATTTACTTGAAAATCGAAAGTTATTTTTGCAACTTCTTCTTCTTGATATTCAGCCTTGATTCACACCTCAATAGACAAAAACAAAAGTGCTAAAATTCTCAATTATCGCGCACGATCTTGTTTATTATTAGCAGATCAAGACACAAAATAATTATCAAAAAATTCACGGTCAATGTACTCGGAAGTTAGACCAAATAAAGAAGTGAATCTGTTAATAAAATTATAATTTTCTCACCGTTTTTTTCGTGCGACATAAAAAATCATGAATTTCATCGCTTGAATACTCAGCGCATGATGATGATTTTGAGTAATAATAATGCTAATTTATTCATTCAAATGACACGCGTTTTATATTGAAATTTTAATGCTGAAACTTCCTCGCAAAGTCTTTACATTTTTTAAAATGATTAAGAAGCAACCAATTTGGTTGTGATTAGCAATATCACGTAGATGGTTTGCTAAAACTTTAGTTATGAGAAATATTTTGCAAAAAAGCACAAGACTCGAAGTGACATTAGGGATGGGTTGATTAAAAAATCTATCAAAAAATTTGATTTTTAGGAACTCATCCAACCTTCTACCACAACAAGAGTCTTAGTCCGTCTCCTCTTAAATTATGGACTTCTTAAGTGATGTGTATAACCTTAAACGAATTAAGTGTGGAATTTTTTAAAGATGATGTAAATCAAATCCTTTGATAAATTGACTAAACGTTTGAGGGGTCGTTCACTTATGACGTCTGAAATTAACGGTCATTTTTCAAAAAAGAACAATGGATTTCCAGGAATTTCTATTGTTCTATTTTTGCTGCCCCCCCCCCCCCCCCCCCCCCCCCTGGACGTCTTAAGTGAACGGCCTCTGATTTTTAAAACTTTTTTTGTTCTTCGTTATTCTTCTTTTGACATTTAATTCCTGGAAATTCCAGTGTTCTAATCTTAAAGGAGTCTCTGCTTAATTCAAAAGATTGAAAAATTAAAAAGAGTTTTTTATTAATGCGAAATTTTGGGTTTTTTCTGATCATGTAAAACTTGATAAATCTTTTATTCTGGATGGAACATTTTATTGATACGGATGCAGAAAAAAATTGAGTGTTAATGCCTTGTGAGAATTATTGCAAGATTAAAACATTTTTTAAGTTTAAAAAATGATTTTATGATTTAACAATTAACGGCAATTAACAAGTCTTAAAATTAACATTTTAAAATGTTACCTTCCTGTAGTGCTAGTTGACAAGGATTTTGCAAAGAAAACTAGTCGCTTCGATTTGAACGGCATTAATCCTGGCTATCCACATAAATTCTTCAATTATTTATATTAGAATCAACAACAATATATTAAAGATTGAGGAAGGAATCGAACCCTCATCCTCACAAAACAGATGGGCTTACAAATTACACAACCTATTGGCTAAAAACTCAACCATAACAAAATCTCTCGCACTAGCAGATTTGCTTAGTTATGAATCGAAACCTTAAATCTCACTCTGAATAGACATGACAGCAGCAAGCTAGAAAATTCAAGTTTCACTTCAATTGTGGCTTATTCATTTATTTTAAGAATTGGTCTTAACCTCATCACATCCCTTATAGTACTAGCGTCATCTTCTTACTTAACATTACGTCTTCTTTAACATTACATTTCTGACTTCTTAATAAGCATTACGTCTTTTACTTCTTATAAAAATTTAATAAGTAGAATTACGCAAAATACCAGAAAACTATGTCCACAAACCAATTGACATCTCATGATTCTCAATAGCTAAGTTGTTATTTTTATAAATTGTGTACCATAGTATCCGTGGTGTCATATTCTATGCTCATTAATTTGCAAGCATACGGAAAAGAATCTGAACAAATCCTTCAACTGATTTAAAAACAACAATCAGCAAAAATATCGATACTTCTTGTTTGTCAATTACGTACTGGAACATTAAAGTTTGTTGTTTTAAAGATCATCTTGAATATTACGTTTTTTTGAAGATGCTTCCAAGTGACTTGAAAAAATTCACAGCTGTATATCATTGTGATGTCTAGAATATGAGGAATTAAGATGATGACGAATGTAATTCTTGTTAATGAATAAGTGGGTTGGATAAACAAGACAGGTTTCTAGACTATTTTATATGTTCAACAAGATTGAATGATGTAAAATAGTTTATAGAGTTCAATGTTAAGCTTTAAGACATGTGCATTGATATTTATGAGGAAGCTGAGGAAGGTGGTTGAACTAAGAAGAATATTTGATGGTTAAATAAAATTATAAATATCATTTAAAGTTCAAATTGTATCTGATTCAATGTTTCCTTGCCTGAATATCGGATGCTAAAGAGTTTTGAGGTTAAACCTGAAAAGCGGGGTTCTGGATTGTTTTTCGTCCATTTTAAAATTTTAAGCTTAGGTCTGAGAAGTTTTTGAATTTCCTCAAACCCAAAAGGCATCTTAGTGGGTAGCTATCCTGCTACGTATGTTTCGAAACCTTATTTATGGACTTCCGAACGCAAAAATGTTTTAACTCTGCAATATCGTTCAATTCGATACATTTGTCCTTAATTAGAATATCATGATCTTATAAAGGCTCAATCAGTTCGTCTTCAAAAACCCCCAGCCACCAGTCATTGCTAAAATTAGCAAAAATAATCTTAACCGCCAGACTTGCTATCAATTAATAAACTTTGTACACAAAAAAATAATTAAATTAAATTCCACATAAATCCGGAAAGAATTATTTCACTCTGTTTTTAATTTTATAAATTCTTTTAATCTCTTCTTTCCCCGATAGAGAGCTCGAACTTTGGAATGAAATATTCGAAAGCCTGATTCAGATTTGCGATGTTTTGTTAAAAATGCTCATTGAAGATGATAAGAAAGTATTGGTCACAGCAGATAACAATTGGGCCACGCTTAATCGCTTGATGTCGACAATAAATCAAAAAGCATTTTACGGAACTGCTGTGGGATTTCAATGTGTAAAATCTATGAAACCAATTGTTAATGTTCTGGTGTCATCGCTTGTTGGATATTCGAAATTTCATTATTCTGATAAGCACAAGTCAATCAGACTGTTGGACTTTAACTTCTCGACGAGCAAATATTTTTTGAAGCCAAAGCATCGTGGACATAAGTTTGTTGCATCATCTGAGAAGGGTGATATTGAGTTTTGTAAGGTAAGTGCTGCTAAGTCACTAGCTATTTATACTTATTGAAGTGTCAAATAGACAAAAAGCTAATTATACATTTAAGTTGCATTAAATCACTCTAGACACTAATATTTACCGGCATTTACTATAACCTGTAGTTGTGACCTTAGAAATTATTTATTAAAAATCAATCGCAACTAAAAAACAAATCTACATACTGCAAAATAAATCGTCACTCAGCTGACTAAACAACAACTTATTTTTATTCCGTGAGATTGGCATTAAGTCAGTCTGTGATCGCAGATAATAACATGTTTGTTTATGACCTACCACAACTGAATGTAGAACTCATTCAGTGTTTTGATTGAAGCGAAGAATTTCGAACTTATTTCCTTAGTTTCGACTAGTTTCTATGATCATGCAAATCTAGAATGTAGGTGTGATAATTGTAAGGATTGTCGCTTTGTTTGAAGATGTTTAATGGTTTGAAGAATGATTTGAATAAAAGAAATATTGCCGGGTACGGATGCTGACTTTTTGATAGCTTCAATCAAATTGTTGATTGAGGTTTGGTTCCGAAGTCTTGAGGAAATAATTTTTGGTAATTTTAAATCATCATGACAGTTGAAATTGTGTGTTTGTGAACATGCAATGAGGAAGTGCAGGATATTCAACTAAATATCATTTGAAATGAAAAGATCATGATCATGTGAATCGAAATCGGCCTTTTTGCTACTTCTGGGGTGTGAATTAATATTGGCTGTGTCTATAGTAGGTACCCCAAGCAGCCCTTGACACCAACTTCAAGACACATACAAAATCCAACAACATCAAGCATAAATCCATTAATACCTAATATTTTTCTTATTTCCCAACAGAAATTCTGGTTCATGACAGAACTCGACGCCCTCCACACCCTTCCAAACGTATTCGCCCACAAAATTGCCGTAAATAAAACATTCAAAATTCCAGCCGAACCAATGCAGACTTTCAGCGATAAACACCAAAAATTCATCGACATTCCACTTCCTCATAGTCATTTTGAAACCAAACCTGTTTCGTGTAGACTTATGAGCATGTACAAACGAGACGGAATGGTAAGTTCGATGAAATATTTAAAATTCTTGAAATGCTAATAATAAAAATACAATTAAATTTAGATGAGCAAAAAATCTCCGTCGTCAAAGTCAATGCCAAAATCGAAGCATCTAGTTTTTCATGTTCATGGCGGTGGCTGGGCAGCACAGACATCAAAGTCACATGAAATCTATTTAAAACAGTGGGCATGTCATGTTCAATGTCCAATTCTATCAATTGACTACTCATTAACGCCAATGGCGCCATTTCCGCGTGCAATTGAAGAGATTTATTATGCATATTGTTGGGCATTGAATAATTTCGATAAACTTGGCACTACTGGTGAAAGGATAGTCTTTGCTGGTGACAGTGCTGGTGCAAATTTAAATACAGCTATTTTAGTCAAGTGTATTGAAGAAGGAATCAGAACTCCCGATGGGATCGTAAATATTTATGGAATTTTCAATGTTGACTTCCTCATATCACCATCAGGTTCCTTAACTGTTATCGATCCCATGCTTCCATTTGGTATGACATCAAATCTCATCAAAACATACGGCATGGACTTAAAAGTCAATGACACTTCAGTCGATTCAAATGGCAACATCATTGTCAAAGAGAGTGAAGCAGCCACAAAAAATCAAGACAAGTTTAATTTCACATTCACGAAAAGCTACTTGTTATCACCATATAAGGCTCCTGAAGAGATTTTGAGACAATTCCCAAAGACAATATTTGTATCAGCAATTCTAGATCCACTTCTAGATGATTCGATCTTATTAGGAACGAAGCTGAGGGATTTGGATGTGGCTACTCATCTTGATGTGCTTGGTGGACTTTATCATGGGTTTTTGTATTTTATTAAGGTATGTAGAAGTATAGTTGTTGACTTAGGATGTCCTGGAGTTAAGTCTGATGCTAGACTGCTTAAAAAATGCCTAAATGAATACAATAATCAACAAATGTTTCCTTTTTAGTTTTCAAAAGAATGCCGAGACGCATCTTTACTGTGTGCTGATCATATTAAGAAGCTTTTGGAAGACGATTGAGCTTTTTGAACAAAACATTGAGACAGCATTGGACATTGAAACATTATGAATAGCTGCACAAAAAAACAAAATCTCATTTTATTACGTAAACTTTAAGACAATGATGATAATAAGCACCAAATAAACTGTGAATTGACAAAAAAAAATATTTTTATATTGATGCATATGATGTGGACTGATGAGTAGCTTTTAATATCCTTAAATATATTTTTTTGAATAAAATTTTGGGGAATTAACATTTTTGGCTTTTTAATATTGCATAATCTGCAATCTGACTAAATGAAAAGAAATTTTTGTAGGTCAAGTTTATAAAAAAAATTCATCATCTTCATCGCATTTTAAGTCTAACTGGATCCAAAAACAGTTTCGTTCAGAGAAAATCACATTAAAATATATTTTTATGTCTACGCTCGACTACAAACACATTTACACATTCTATTGTTTCTTATTTGGTCAATGATATCACAACAAAACCATGTGCTTAGTCTGTAGATTCAAAAACTTGTCTTGCATGTCGTGAAGAAAAAAAACAATGCACAAACCTGTTGAATTGGAACGAAAACAGAGCGAAAGTCATTAAAACATTGAGAAACATTAAAATATTTGCAAACTCAATTGATGGATATAATCACTGATAATTGATCAATTAGTAGGAATGTTGGATGTATTTTTTGTTGATAAAAGTCTGTATTTTCATTAGAAGCTACATTTTTAATTTAATGCAACTGAACTATGGATTAAAAAGGTGGTTTTAGTAGTTTATCACTGTCTTATCTGGTTTATGAGTCGCCGGCCATGATCTAAAATGAAATGAAGAAAATGTTTTGAACTATAATTTTAGGAGAGATGATTGATCAACTGCTGTTAATTTCCAATTCAAAATTTGGTCAGTTCACTGAATTTTTCAGAGATCGAAGCCGATTAAGTCGGCGGCTTAAACCAGCTTACGTAAGCTGATTTTTAAGCCGACTTATAAATCAGCTTATGCAAGTCGATCTCTAAGCCGAGCTTAAAAATCGACTTGCATAAGCTGAAGTCGGCTTAAAAATCCAGCTTATCTAAGCCAAATTTAAGCCGCCGCTGGCTTAAATACCGGCGGCTTCGATCTCTGGAATTTTTTATAAAACAGTTTGGGAAACAACAAAATTGAGCCTTTGCTAATAATCAATTTGTAAGTTAAAATCCAATAATCCAAAAGGTCATAGTCAATACTCATGGAATATTATTAAATTGATTGAAAACGATTGTCGATAAGAACAAACTTCAATTATAATGCATATAATGTCAAATAGCTCTCTCTTATAGCTTTCATGATCCATAGACTGCACATAAATAAAGTAATACAGCAAACGGGACACTTCACACCAGGCACGTCACCAGGAGGGTCTTGCTCCCCCCCCCCCCCCCCCCCCCGCCTTAAACATTTCGAACCGCAGCTAGAGCATGGCCTAAAATGCTTAAGAGGGGGACAACACCCTCCTGGCTACGGGCCTGCTTCACACATATTACCCTGTCATCAAGCAGAACCAATTACTGATCCGAAAAGTTTGATAAATAATAAGTACACATTTTAAATGAAGCATTCTAAAAATAAACATTCAGCATTGAAAAACAGCTGTGACAACTTCCAATGAGCTTTTTGAAAGCAATCAAAATGTCAAAACATTGTAAAACATTAAAGATAATTTGCGCATTAAACAACAATAATTTAAACTATGCTCAAAAAGTATCTCTTAAGTCAGTCAGTGTTGAATGATCGTCTGCGGTAGACTCGTGCATTTAGCTTTATAATTAGATTCGTTGGCATTAAAATGAGTGAAGAAAAAATCACAAAAAGTCTAGAATACATAAAGAATCTAAAGCTTGGTGATGCAATTTATAACTCTAAAATTCAACGTCTATACTTGCAAATTTTGGAGAGCAAGAAGCTTATTTTAGAGATAGAGAATTTTGCTGACGCGTACAGTTTTGATCAATTCACACCTGAAAATGGTTTTCGGAGTATAATTGAAATTTATTTTATCGCAATTGCACAAGCATTAGAAGCATGTGATAAGCCAAAGGGAATTAGAAAATTTTTTATGACAAGAAGTCGTCAAATAAAGTGAGTGAATAATGACTTTATTGATATTTGTTTAATAGATTATTTTGGAGGAAACAATGGAAAATAATTTATGGCATTTTCGAGACAAAAAATAATAATTTTAAATCAATAAGTGTTTAAAAAATTACCTGAAAGAGTGGACAGACTTGTAAATTTACTTAGTGATGAAAAGATTGTAAAGCAGATGTTAACAAGCTTATAATTATGTTTGTGGCAAACATTAGGAAACTCATTGTACTCACGAATATATTATCTGTTTTAATACCACCAGTAGTGAAACTAGAAAATAGCTTAGATGCTCTAGTAGATTGATATAGTTTCATTGTGGATGATGAGAGGTGTTTAAACTTCTTATAAAGTTCATAATGTTCAGGTACCTTCATATAAGGTCTCAATATTAAAGTATTTTTTTTTGAAGTTTTTTTGTTAAGGTACCTTCACACTAAGTTTACATGTTCAGATGCCTTCACATTAAGTTTCTATGTTTAGGTGCCTTCACACTAAGTTTACATGTTCAGGTGCCTTCACATTAAGTTCCTATGTTAATGTGCCTTTACACTAAGTTTCTATGTTAAGGTGTCTTCACACTAAGTTTCTATGTTAAGGTGCATTTACACTAAGTGTCTATGTGAAGGTGCCTATACACTAAGTTTCTGTGTTCAGGTGCCTTCACACTAAATTTCTTTGTTAAAGTGCCTTCACACTACGTTTTAATCTTAAGGTGCCTTCGCACTAGATTTAGATATAAAGGTGCCTTCATATTAAATTCCTATATTAATATGCCTTCACATTTAGTTTCTATGTTAAGATGCCTTCACACTAAGTTTCTATGTTAAGGTGCCTTTACACTAAGTGTCTATGTGAAGGTGCCTTCACACTAAGTTTCTATGTTAAGGTGCCTTCACACTAAGTTTCTATGTTAAGGTGCATTCACACTAAAGTTCTTTGTTAAGGTGCCTTCACACTGCGTTTTAATCTTAAGGTGCCTTCGCACTAGGTTTAGATCTAAAGGTGCCTTCATATTAAATTCCTTTATTAATGTGCCTTCACATTTAGTTTCTAGGTTAAGATGCCTTCACACTAAGTTTGTATGTTAAGATGCCTTAACAATAAGTTTCTATGTTAAGGTGCATTCACACTAGGTTTTAATATTCAGTAGCCTCCACATTAGGTTTCAAACGTAAGGTGTCTTTACATTAATTTTCAATGTTAAAATTGACTTCAGATTAGGTTTTAATGTTCAAGTGCCTTTACATTGGGTTTCAACTTTTCTGAATTTTTAGGATCATCAACCTTAAAAACTTCATATCAATATTCAAATGCGCCATAAAATTTTCATCAAAGAATCAATTTTCTAACTTGAAATCTGCAAATCTTTTACAGTGACATTCAAAACTTCTGTGGCATTGTCGATAATTTTTTAAAAATGTTCTACGCATTGCTTGAGTTCCATAAAAATTCAAAAGTCAAAGGGTCATTAATAGCCGAAGAGGGTGAAAGCGATAATATCGTAGCTAAAACATACAAAGATATCAACTTATTGAGTTTTTATAATCAAAACATTGGTTTTCATGTGAGTTGGAATTTTTAAATATTTACTTACGACTTGTTTGACTTACTTTTCATTCATAAAATGCAGCATGAAACTCCAACGAGTCTCCAATCACGACAGTTTAGTCTTATCATTACCTTATTCGCCGACTATTACTACTCCGGAAAGAACTTAATGGTACGAATTTTATCGATTCCGATGAGTGCAATCAAATATTTTTTCAGTGATCATGCTCGTGCATTAAAGCATGAGGACGTTATCAGAAATGCTGATATTGAATTTTTGAGGGTAAAAATTATGAAATTTTCTGCAGATTTTGTGTAAAACTTTTCTAATTTTCCAATCAGTTTGCGTCACTTTTCTTCGTGTCGAAGCTCTCATGCTACATACAAAATATCTTCAGCTACAGACTGAAGGTCAACAAGGAGATAAAAATTGCACCAGAACCACTTCAAATATTGAGTTCAAAATACAGCGGATTAAATGGATTAAACGTTTCAGTTCCACAGACCCATATCGGCGTACGTCCAATTTTGTGTCAATTATATAGTTCGAAAACTAGACAAGGCATGGTAGGCGAGAAGTCATCAGTTGAGCCGTCAAAAACTCTTATCATTCACGTTCATGGAGGTGTAAGTTTTTTTTTTTTTGTTGATAATGATTTTCAATGACCTAATAATTTTTTTGGTGCTCACATGTGTTTTTTTTATTCGTTCCACAGGGATTTTATACAAATTCTCCGCAGTCACGTATGTCGCATTTTTTTCAAGTAGTAAAATTTTTAATGCGGAGTTTTTGGTGGCGCTTTTTTCAAGACATTGAATTTAATTGCTTATAGATTTTTGGGAAGGAGTGGAGGGGTGAGGGAAGGCTGGTTGCTTGGTAAACACTGGTTCCCACTTTAGGATTCTATCAATGGCTATGGTTATACTGATGCTATGGGATGTAGAGCCATTTATATATATCACAGCATTACTGATTCAAGCTTAATGACTACTTAATGAGCTAAAATTCACCACAACCCACCTTGAATAATCTTGCTATCCACATTATTCAGTTTAAACCGAGAAACAAATTCATGATTTTTAAAGCCACAGCATTCATTATGCAACATTAAACACAATGTCAAGAATGCAATACAGTTCGTAAATGCAAAAGTTCAGCACCACAACAACTCGTTTTGTGAAAGTTTACAGCAAAACAAAATAAATGTTGTCATTGTTAAGCTTAATAAATCAGACTCTATTGGACTTGATCGCCTTTAAATTTACATGATAAAGTATTTATTTATTTCATTATCAGTTGTGTGTTAATTGATTTTTTGCATACAACATTCAAGGTTGGAATGATGATTGTAGATTAAAGGCTGATTGATTTGGATTTCTTTTTCTTGTTATGTAACATTTGAGAATGAAGAGTTGGTGGCTGGGGAGTTGTGTGTCTGGATGGAAATGAAATAGGTAAAATCTTGTGTCTTGAATGGAATAGGAATCGAACAAAGGTCTTAAAAAATAATAATTTAAAGATTTTTTATCTATTGCCTAACCAATCGACCACAAAAGCCCCGTCTCTTACTGGCAGATTCGCCTAAAAAAGGTTCAGTACACCAGATTCCATTCTGATCCGACACTATAAGGACAAAGCTATCTCAGAATCTGAGTTTAATGCAGTTTAATGTTGTCAGATTTGTAGGAAAATGTCTCACCTTTTCACAAATCTTATTGTCATCGATTCCGATGATCAAAATTAAGCACAGCAATAGCTTAGCACTCTAAACCAAGGTTCAACATCTATGGCTAACTCATTCCTTAGTTATGATTTCATAGTTGCACTTTCTAAGACCATTCACTAAGATACTGTCTTAGATTAATTCCAAAAAGTCTCCACCTTGATCTTTTAAGTCCGAAAAAATATTCAATACCAACTAATAATACAACCCATTAAAAGCAAAAAGCGAAATGATGACCTTGAGAATATCCGCAAAACCGATAAAGACACGTTATCATCAAAAACTCCGCAATATTTTCACCAAACTGCTTACGCGTACAATAATAATCACGTGCTTACAATTAAAATTCTATTTTTACAGACGAAGTATACTTACGCGATTGGGTAGTTAAGCTTGACGTTCCGATATTAGCAATCAAATACAGTCTCGCACCAAAAGCTCCTTTCCCACGTGCTCTTGAAGAGATTTTCTATGTTTACTGTTGGGTTTTAAAGCATGGAAATCTTCTTGGAACTACAGCTGAAAATATAATTCTTGTCGGTGACTCTGCTGGAGCTAACTTAATCACAGCTTTAACAATAAAATGCATTGAGTCAGGAGTGAGACTTCCACAAGGACTTCTAAGCATTTATGGACTATTTTTATCAAACTATTCAGCCATTCCATCGATGATGATGGGATTTGTGGACATGAACTTAAACTATAATCACATATTGAGGATCTTCAAATCATATGCTGGTCATCATAAGCACTTAAAATTCCAAAGAAATGGTCAAATCCCAAAAGCTCCAGTCAATGAATTTTGTGATAAGATTCCAAAGAATCATCATATGTCACCAATATTGGCACCTGATGATATCATCAAGCAGTTCCCTAAAATGATACTTTTAACTACAACTTTGGATCTGTGCTTGGATGAGAATGTTGAATTTGCTAAGAAATTAAGGAGAAATGGAGTTGATGTAAAATTGGATGTGATTCATGGGCTCATCCATGGATTCAATCATATGGTGAAGGTAAGTGTCGCGTTATGTCAGAAATTAGGTCACTGTTGAACATCTGAAGTTCAAAATAAGTTGCATCAATTCTATTGGAAGCTCCCAAAAAGTCAAAATCAATACCGATCCGGCTTGAAGTTAGCATCAAGCTACCACATCAGTTTATTTACATTATTTGTCCAGAATCCCATTCGGGTAATTGACATTGATCTCAAGCAAATAGAAAAAAATTCTAAAGACTTCCACAAGAGCTTTTTCTGTTTACATAATAATAAATTAACAGAAGCTATTAAGCAGACAAAAGAACCATTCATAGTAAAGCAAACAAGTCGACATTTAAGAACAGCACCTGATTTTAGCCAAGAAATAATTGTTATGGTTATAAATATTGAAGTAAAGTGCAAATATTGGCTGTGACCTTGAGGATGATATGTTCAGACATTCATTCAGTAATGGAATTTTGATTGATATTATCTTATTGATAAATGAAACAGTGATCGTCTTTAGGGCTAGATACAATTTTTGAGTATCATACATCTCGTGAGTTTGGTGCTTAATTGCTATGTAGCTACAATAATTTGAATTTGATTGTTTAAATTGATTAAAATCTTACGAATCTAAGCTAATTTAACTCTTTCACATTCACAGGTATGCAGCAAAAGCTACAATGCTTCAATGACGTGTGCTCAACACTTACAAGATCTTATCAATCATCACACATGAAATTGTATATTATTATTGTGAATATAATTAGTAATCTATGCTGTTAATTGTGAATTATTAAAATTAACGTGAATGGGCAATTGATACTAATGTCTAGTAAATGACTAGACGTCTAGTGTATAACCAGAAGTCAAGTTACTAGACATTAGAGTCAAGTGTCCACTCTGGTTATTGTTACCTCATCCAAAAGTTATGCTGCATTAAAATAATAAAATGATTTATTTTTTTACAAAATATATCGACTCTGAATTTGTCTTTATTCATCAATAAGAGTTCCAACAAATTTTTGCCAACTTTCAGGAACTTCCAGGACAGCTTCAACACCCCCTCAGTCAAAATAAACACCAAAAACATTAAACAATCCAAACACATTGTTCCGCTCATAAACAAAAGTTGCCATTGTGTCATTATTAACATCCCACAGCACTGCAATACTCTTGTCAAATCCTTGATACATTTTCTGACCGATTGTTACAGACACAAAAATTTTGTAGCGATCAAATTCATAATTTTTAACTTCCAACAAAATTTCTTCGGACAATTTTCGAGCTATTGAATGCATGGACTTGGTATTGTCAAATTCAAATTTCTCGTGCTCATCGAGTCTGTCTTTGATGCGACTTTCAAGGAAATCTTCAACAATTCTCGGATCGAAAGGCTTTTGAGATTCCATACGATAAGTTGGCATGAAGATTTCTGCTGGACGTAGTATTGATGATTGTCGATCACGTCTTATTTTAATGTTTGTGAACATTTGTGTTAATCTTGTTGAGTAACGAGCTCTGGAACCGACGAGATTGCTTATTCTTGACTTTCTGTCCAATTCATCATCATCGTCCTGTCCTGGATATTTACTCTTCCTGTATTTTCTTGAGCTTGTTTCCGATCCATTATCGTTGTCATCAGGATATGTACTTTTTCTGAATGTTCTTGACTGTGGTGGTGAATCTTCATCCTCGGTTTGTGTTGCAAATAGGCTTTTTCTGAATGTCCTATGTTCAGCTGGAGAAATTCGTGCATCTTCTTCTGGCAAATCGAATTTAAGTTCTTTTTTTGGTGGCATTTTTGAGGTATAAATGAAAAGTTTTGAGATAAAGAAAAAGGTGACTTAATAAATTTTCATAACGGTAAAAATAAATTCAAATTTTTAAATCAAGCTTTTTAATGAGCTTTCGATAAAAAGCTCAAATGTGAGCTTTTTCTGGCACAAATCGTATTAAAGCTAGCTTTACTGCCCACAATCATCCCTCTTTCATATTAAAACTTAATAAAATCAATTTTGTAAACTCGAAAAGCTCCTCAAGATTCAAAAATTCTCAACTTTAAGTACACGTGCAGCCCAAAAGAAGGACAGGAAATGAACAATCATAAAATTGATAACAAACTGTAATCATTTTATTGCCATAATTACAGACAAGAATTGCATTCAGCACAAAAACTTATTACCATTTCCAAAATATTCAACAGGTTTGTTTTAAGGAATAAAATCATTTCCAAGCCGAAAGTTTTCGCCATGGCAACGAGTCAATAACCAAAACATTCCAAAGACGGAATTTTTTACTCATTTAATGCGATAAATTTTATTATTATTATTTACGTGCTCAAAAGGAGAGTGAAGAAATAAAATTATTGCGGATTTTATATCAATTAACTTTTTTTTTGTGTCCAACGGTTGTGAAAAGAAGGCATTAAGCTGAAAAGTGTTTAAAAGAATTTCAATGGAAGTGCCTGGTCATTGTAAGCCTTCTTTTAAATATCTTGTGCAATAAAATACCGAGAATATCATAAATGAACTTCTGAATTTTTTTTGTGTGTACTTATTTTACTGCTTCTGCCTTTTGTGTGTCCATAATGAAGAGTGTATTGTAATTTTGCAAAAGTGCAGTTCAAGGTGCGTGAAAAAAAGCAATAACTTTAGGATTTTGTTTTGTTATTTTGTGTACGATGAGAGTAAAGTCAGTTGGAATGGGCGATGTAACTGAATGGATTTATTGAGCGCATTTTATATTGATTATTTGACTTTCATTAAGGCTGGGGTTGCTAGTGATTTATTTATAAGGGGCTGTTTGCTTATTATGTAATGCGAGAAAAGGATTTATTAAAGCTTTAAAGCGTTCCTCTAAGGAGATTTTCAAATTTTTGGGACGAATATTTTAAGATTAAGGAAAAGAAGGGGAAAGCGGGTTCAAGCGAACTTGATTGATTTTTTAGTATGGCTAGTTCTATTAAGAATCGATTATAGATTATGGCTAGCGTTTCTGAGAAGATTTATAGAATCCAAGACATAAAGGAATAGTTTCAACGGCTACCCTGAGCAGCTTTCTCTAATATCAGATAAATTTTAATTAAACCTTACATTTTAGGACATCAAATTCATTCCTGGCTTAGAAACCAGACCTAAATCTAATCTTAACGGTCATGTTTTGATATTGGCACTCTGCCAAGGTTCACAACAAAGAAAGAAACTCACGATAGCTCAGAAATAAGAATTTGTAACCTGTAATTGTAAAAAACATAGGTTCGATTCCCAATTGGATCAAGATGCTGAATATGATTATTTTATATTGAGTTCTTAAAGTACCTTAATAAAATATACTTAAGTCATTCGTCATGTTCAGCCCCCTTAATTCCCATGAGTCCTTAATTATCAAAAAGTTTTGACTGATGACCTAAGATAACCAATATTATAACAATATTCAGGCTGAGTTTCAAGTCGATTGGACATATCCTGCCCGCTAGGACCCCAAAAGCATTATCATCATATATTTATTGGTTAGAATTGTCTAATGACTTAAAACATCAACAACCCCCAAGCAAAATAAATCACCATCTCAAAATTTAATTTATCAGCAAGACAAACCCAAATCAATCCAATCAATCTTAGCCATAGCAACGGAAAAAAAAATGTAATCTGTTACATCAGCCACTCAAAATCGTGAGCACTGGCAAATAATTATAATCATTAAAAAGTTATTTTCATCGAACAACAGAGCGAACTTAAGTTAAAGAGATTTTTCGCACTAGAGATAAAATATCTGCATTATATTACTTCCCATCTTGTTGCATTAATAAAAATTCCACCAAAAAAAATTATATTTTGTTAACAGCCTGGCGAAAGGAAATGAGGAGATGAGAGACGAAAAAGAAAACATTCCAGAAAAGCAAATTATCAAACCGTACACAATCATTTGTAATCAAAAGGTGTCACTTTAATTTACACGCAGTATTTTGATCCTCTCTCAACACATACTACATATCGCTACGGGAATATCGTCAAGAGCAGTAAACAAGAGTGAAGAAGAAGGAACAAAAATGAAGCCCATTTGCATTCATTAATTTATTCATGAGAGAAGCAAAAAGGCACTGACTGAAGAATATATATAAACTGAAAGGCACGAAAAGATTCTTTTTTTGAACGGGTGCATTTTTTTGGGGATATTGATGTGATGTTGTCTTTGGGTTGATGGCTGATTACTAAAGAAATTACGACAATATTTTTGTTGGTCAGTTTGTGTTTTTGGGAATCATCCTCGAGATAAATCAGAAGAATCATATATACAAAGGATCAGAAAGTATCTTCAAAGTTTAAATCTTATGACTTCACTTCATTAAACTTATTTGTTTCAGTTTCTCCTAGCTTTTAGCTACAAGCATCATAGCTTCTAGCTACTAGCATTATAGTAGCTACTAGCTTCTATATACTAGCATAATAGAAGCTACTAGCTTCTATATATTAGCATCATAGAAGCTACTAGCTTCTAACATCATAGTAGCTTCTAGTTTCTAGCTCCTAGCATCTAGATTGATGATCCTACATCTTCAGTTCCATAATTATATATCCATCATCGATCACACATATCCCTTAAAAAATGCGCCCACAACCCCTCCCAAACCCACAATATTTTCCAATTTTCAACATTTCTTTTCGTACAGCAACAAAAAAAAAACGCAAATTGGCAGCCAAAAAGGCATTATCAAACAACGCAAATAAAATAACACAACAACACAGTGTGTATAAAAGGCGAACGAACTTGATGTGAAAAGAGCAGGCACGACAGGAACAACGAAAAAAAACAGCAGAAGAAATAGCAGGCAGAGAGGGAGAGAGAGAGAGCAAGAGGCATAATAATAATAATGGATTCTTCATACTATAAAGCACTATCATTATTTCGTCTTCGCAAATATGAAAAATGCATCGAAATGTGTAATCAATTGTTGAACAACAATCCTCAGCTGCAAGGTCCTTGGGAACTTAAAATGCGTGCCATGACACAACGTGTGTATATTGATGATATTGAGGCTGAGGATGATGGAGTTGTTGGTAAATAAATTTACGTAATTTTTAGCAAATTGATCGTTAAAAAATTTCGTCTGGCATCGCAATTTGACAGCACAAAAAATCCATTTTGTAAAGATAATTTCCATATCCAATTCCAGATGATCCACTTGACACAGAAATTCTCGCTACAACAGCAAAGCCCGGGACGTCATTACGAACAGCAACAGCAATCAGAACTGGTCAGAAGACAGCATCCACACGACCAAGAACATCAACTGGACGTCCACTAACTGGAATCGCACGACCAGGAACAATGCAACAGCGAGCAGGAACATCATCATTGACAGGCAATCGTACAGCACTTGCAACGGGACGTGTTAATACTGCACGTAATATACGTCTTGGATCAGCGTCAATCTTTAATCTCGGTGATAATACATTCAATATGTCGAGATTAAATCCATCGATCTTTGCAACAAAACCGTCAGTAGCGAAAATTTTATTCCAGTATCTTTACTATAGCGAAGGGGATATTAAGAAGTCACTTGATTTATGCAATGCCGTGATGGAATTAAATAAAACAGAAGCTGGATGGTTTTGGTATACTCAAAAAGGTTTGTTGCTTCTGCTTGTTCTGGCTGATGATGATAATATTAATAATGTTTGAAAGGCACACACGGGGACTTCTTCTTACTACCATCACTGCTTCTTGTTTTCATTTTTGCTTCTTGTCTTGTTTTCTTTCCCTTATTCTTTCATTTTTCATTGCTCTTCTCATTCCACAGCCACTCATTCGAATTTTTCGTTCCTTTTTTTTCGATGTGGTTTCCTTTGAAGAAGTTGGAAGTGGTGTTAATGGTTGATGGGATGTCTGGCTGTCTGGAGAATGTGATTTCTTTTATGAAAGCGCTAGGTAGATTCAAATTAAAGCTAGACTTTACAGATATACGATAGAAGACCCCCTTCATTTACACCATAGCGAATTAAAGATGCTTGAAGTCGGCATGACACTAGTGTAGTCCAATTTGTTAAATCGCAGTGATTTAGTGTTGATTGACTTAATTGACTTCACTCTTGACTTCAGGATTTTAGCTTAATTAAGATACTGTTCCTTAGGATTGTTCCTTAGGGGTCGTTTACTTATGACTTCCGAAATTAACGGTCATTTTTCAAAAAAGAACAATAGATTTCCAGGAATTTCTCCTGGACATCATAAGTGAACGGCCCCTTCCCCAAAATATTGTAAATTCATTAAAAACTGCGTCCCATGCCCCCCATTTGCCACATCCACAAACTCAAAAAGAATCTCCTTCTTATTTTTTTTTTCATTCTCTTCTTTCATTCTTATCGCTCGCAGGTCGATGCTTGATTGCAGTTGGAAATGCACGATCGGCTGAACAATTTTTACAAAATTCGATGAAACTTTTGATACATCCTGATACTGTTTTATTATTAGGTATGTAGACGTCTCCTCACATTTTGGACTCCTTTTTTTAATTTCAACTTTTTTTTTGTGGAATGGAAAAAAAATGTCTTAAATTTCACTAGCTCACTAATTAGAAAAATGTGCATTCTGATGCTCCTGATGAAGATTATTTTTTCGCATTCTTGTAACGTGAAAAGAATGAAAAAAAAAATATGAAATTCCAGAGAGGTTATTGCATTCTTAATGACATACATGCGAAAGGAAAATGAGAGAGAAAAAGAAGGTGAAGAAGAAGGAAAGAAAGAGCAATGCAACAACTTAAATATCAATCAGAAATTTGCAATAATTTTTTTTTTGAAATTCTTCTTTTATTAAATAAGTC